GCTGGCATACGCGAGACGATACGACGTGCATTTCGCCGGTCGACTAGTTAAACCCGTCGTTTATGACTCGCGAATAAATGCGAGACACCTGTCGTCTTTCTTTCTTTTTTTTTCTTTTTACAATTTTGCTCTCTTCGCAGTGTCTCCCCTCTCCCTAGTTTCTTAGTCACGTTTTGTCCGTTCTCGCAGGCGCGACAATATCCCTCGGTCATACGTGAAGCCGGACTATGACTCGCGCGCGAGTCTTTTCGCGACTTAAAATAGAAACTCCCTTGTCGTCTCTTCCGTGTCCGCGCGAAGCCCAAGGTTAATTCGCGACGGTGCCACGATTTTCGTCACCTGAGGGTCTGTCGAATCTGATTCTACCTGAAAGAATAAGACGCGTATTTAAAAAAAAAACTGCTCTTTTCAACAGACTGAAACTTGGTTCTCTTCTCCCCCCTCCCTCTCTCTTTCTCTCTCTCTCTCTTTCTCTCTCTCTTTCTCTTTCTCTCTCTCTTTCTCTCTCTCTCTCTCTTACACACACACTCTTACTTTCAATGATAGATTATTTGTTTTACTCTAAAAGTAAAACATTGAGCAACCTAGTTAAGCTGAAGAAAACAGACAGGCGACAGAAACGCCGCGATCGAACCCGATATCCTATTTACTTCCACGATCCTGTTTCAATTATGCGCTCCTGTTTCATTTATGCGCTCGCGGCTCGGTCTCTGCGTCGCGTTCCTTTTTAGGTTGTGTCTGGTTCTTGGGCGTGAAATCGAGCACACGCTGCACCGCCGTTTTCGCATGTAAATCAGGTAGTTACTGCCGATCATTCGGTTGTTTGTCCGCGACCGGGCTGCGTTAGACACCGGCGATTAAGGAATTATCCTTAGAAAGGACGCGTGGAGAGAGTGCGAGGCGTGATTCTATTCTTCTCACCTTCGATCATCGACATCTTCGATTCTCTGCTCTATCCTCGAGTGATCATTTTTTTCTCTCCGGACTCCTCGTGAAATTTCTTACGTATGTTTCGGCTAATACCGAGGAAAGCGTGTGGCATTTTATAAATATATAAATCGCATGGTGAAAGAATCGTGATCACAGGAGAAGCATTTTTCCGAGCGAGTGTTACTACGCGGTGTTGTATTAAGAGGGAAATTACATGCGGAAGACTGTTTTCAAGGTTATTTTTATTAATTTTTTTAACAGAAACGGTAAGATCAATGGACCTGAAATTTTTGCAGTATATTCATTAATGTTCAGAGTATAAAATAAATTTTATTGAATCACAAGAACCAATCCAATTTGTAATTATAAATAAAAAGGCGGTCATCCGTTTGCGAGCTCTATGTTTGCTGTCGAGATAATTCCGGTTCGAGATAATTCTCTCACTACTCTGAAATCAAAAAACGAGAAAGATTTTTAAAATATACGATTGCCATTATAGCCCGTACCAAAATGAAGGCAGGAAGTCAAGTTTGGAAAAATAATGACTGTATAAAAAAAAGTATCAAAAGTGAAACTTTTTTCGACTTGTAATTATGTTTAAAAAAAAAATGAATAAAATAAAATATAATTGTATTCGAGATAGGGGCGAAAACTACATGTCTATTGTATATTGTGTAAAAATTTCAAGTTATTCGGTTCAGCAGTTTTTGCGTAATCGTGTCGACAGTTTAAGAAAATGATGTTTCCAGATAAAAACGCGTTGAAATTTGTGCGTTAAAAATGTGTATTTTCCATATAGATAGTAACAAATTTATTTTATACTTTGAATATTAATGAATACACTGAAAATTTCAAGTCCATTGATCCTACCGTTTCTGTTAAAAAAAAATTCTTAAAAATGGCCTTGAAAATGGCCTGCTCTGCGTGCGTAATTTCCCTCCTTAACAATGACACAGCCTAAAATGCATATTTTCGTCACCACTTTGGAACAATAAGAAGATAACAGTTGACGCCGAAAATAACGATTATCATAGTGACATTAACCATCTTTCTTTTCTCTGCGCGCCTTCTTCGCGCGCTGCGCCTCGAAATTTCCTCGCGGAAACGTCACGTCATGCCTGGCATAACTTTCTCGGACGAAGCTCTTGGATCTATAATAACCGATCCGCGAATATTTCGCCGAGCGCTTTCGCGCATACGTACTCGTACTTTTTGGAGCATACCGCCGTTCTCGACGGACCGAATCTCTTTTACGTCCCAGGATATAACCGCGAGAAACGCGAGTTCTCTCCTCTTCTTTCTGTTTGTTCCTCACTCCCTTTCTCATTCGCGTACTTTCGTCGGTCCTCCTGATGTCGGTTTAAAATTAACTCTCCCTCTTACTCTGCGTGCCCTCGCGACCGATACACGCCGCGCACCGAACTCGCGGCACTCTCATGTGAAAATGGAAAAAAAACAGAGGGAGAGACACACGGCGAAGAGACGGCAAAGGAAGGATGGCACGCTCGCGCTTGTGTTCCCCTCATCTTCTCTCCCCCACACGTCGGATATTCCGTCGCGTTCCGCGACGAGAAAGCTCGAATTGCGCCGTCGGGCGTTGGTCGGTCGTCGCTATGTGCTTTCTTCCAACGGCACGACGCGTGTGTGACGCGAGTCGATCGATCGTTTCGGAAAAAGGCGTTCCTTCACGAAGAAGTCGGGACTTGCGATGTGAAGCGAATCGCGTTCGCTGTGATTTCTTATCGGCGCGTTAATCTTCCGCCGGCTTCACATGCATCGGTTTCCGGCGCCGCGGGGGGTCGTTCGTTTTTTTCCCTTTTTGCCGAAGTCGGATACAATAGCATTGAACTCTCGCACGGCGATCCGCGCGGATATGAAACGCGTTTGACGCGTGATAGAGCGCGTGGGAGAGAACGCAAGTCGGCCGGCGCGAGTTTGCGTTGGTGGCAGCAAAGCAACTTAAGACGAAATTAAGAACGGGTTAAGCGAGCGCTCTCCGCGTGGGCCGCGCGTTTTTCCTTTTTTCTTGGCGTCCCTTGACCAGTTTCCACGTAGTTTTTCCAGCCTCCAGTCAGGTGGGCCGTTGTAGAGGCCGTATTCAAAGCCGCAGGTCTGTCCTTCCAGCTGCGCTTTTTATAATTCCCACCTTTTTCCCCCTCCCCTTTCCCGGGCTAAATACGTTTTCCCGCTTTGTCCCTCGGCTCGTTAGAGCGCGGTAGAACGAAAATTTTACGCTTCAAGAAGGAAAATTTCCCCACAGGCTTGTAATTAGCGCGGCGCGATTCACGCAGCTTTTCCGGCGCAATTATAGCCATCGCGTTTTTCCGCGAAGGTGAAAATATCACGTACGACTATGAAGTTGTAATATCGGTGAATCACACAATGTGTTATTACGATTTATTACTAGGATCACGCGTGACCGCGAACGGACGATATTAATCGGTAAGATGAACGAAACCGTGCCCAGCCGGGCCGCCTGGCTTGTTCAAATTGGCAAATATGCGCGACAGCCCAAGGTGGATTCGTCGTCACTCCGTCGAAATTATCTCGGTCTCATCGCGTGCACACGTGTTTGAAATTGGATGGAGCATTTGTCCGCAATTGAAATTAATCGCGTATTGCTAATACGCTCGACCCACCGCCGAACGTGCAGAATAACGTTGCGGGGAATATATATCACCCTCGGTCGAGAATAGAGAAGGGGTGGTGCCGCCGAGAGCTAACACCGTTGTTCCCCACAAAGATCCTCGAGGTCCTCGCGACCTCGCCGCCACGAGATGGAGCGTTCGAGAAAATTCCATTGAGTAGGTCAGGACTTCAGGAGGTCGCGGCCGGATCGTCGTCGGCCACGACGACGATCGGTTCTCTCCGAGGTCCGTCCAGTCGACCGGTGAAGGGTGACTTCGCTCTCCTCTCCTCCTCAGCTCCTTCTTCCCTTCTCACTGTCGCGACACAGTGCACAGGTGGGTGGTTAGGTGGGTGGATGGGTGGTGGCGGAGCGACGGTGGCGGTGTAGAAGCGACGAGAGGGAGGAGAGGAGTGCTCCGGGGGTCCTGGACTAGATCGATAATGCATCTCTTGGCGGGCGTAGTTCCTCTTAGTCACCGGAGGGCGATCGCTCCCACTTGGCGAGCGGAGTCATTCCATTTTACGATCCTGCCGGTGGTGTCGTGTGACAGAGAGGGTGGTTGGGGCGGGTGTCGTTGTCCGCGTATCGTGTGCATTATATCTCGCAGAGTGCGACGCTCCCGATACTATCAGTATCGTCGATTCCCCTTCGCTTTCCGAATCCGGCGTCCAGCTCGCGCTGATTGACTCCAGCGACTGGAGCCGCTCGATATTCTGCTCGATATCCCTCCGGTCATTAGGAGAGAGGAAGAAAGAGGTGTACCTCGCAGGTACGTGTTACATTACCTCGTCGACACGTTAACGAGACGAGTTGGAGCGTGAGCGAAACCGTGAGGCTCCTTTCGAATTATTGGGCGAATTACATTGCAACCCGCGCGAGCAGAATAAACAGGCGGTAGTTTCCGGGTTCTCGCGCGCCGGAAACGACGCGTTTCTTGCGAAGATTCCTCTCCGGCCGTCTGGACGAGGATGAGGATCGGGAAGAAACGGACGAGTCCGTCTTGATAAAACGAGAAGTATGGAAATTGAATTTAAATGCGATATTGTAATATCACGTACGAATAATTCTCGACGGTACTGTCGGTACCCTCGTAAGGGGGAATACGAGAGCGCCTGTAAGAATCCAAGGAAATCAATAAATTATTGAAGAAAGAATATGCCGTTTACTCGAGACACACAAACAGCGCGCACCGAATTTTTATTTAATCGCGATGAAACGTCGCAACGGTGGGGCAAAGACCCCCCGCTATTGTTTCCTTTTTTCGTCTGTTTCGTTATGTTTCGAGATGTACATAAGTAGCGTTAATATGAATGTGCGGCGGTCCTCTTGAAAACTACACGAAAGGCAGAAGAGGATAAAAGGTGGCGGCGTAGCGAATTTTATTCGCCAGCGGTTCGTCGCCCTTTCTCTCTTTTTCTAACTTCTCTCACGCTTCTTCCAGAACCTCTCCAGCATGCACTGATCCCCGAAGCGGATAATGTAGCGGATAGCGAGGATTCCGAAGACGAGTGGAATTACTATCGTATCGATCCGAACAAAGAGGAGTCTGCTACGGCGGCCGCTGCAGCCCCGGGCGACGAGGAGAAGAACGTACGGGAAGATCCCGAGCCTGTTGTGAAGGATAACTCGGAAGTTCAATCTTCGGAGGAAGCCGGCGATATTAAATGCGAAAGACGGACGGAAGAGGCTTCGTCTGAGCTTATTGACACCGATGTAAGTATCTATAGGTTCGTCGTGGTCGTCGCGTCGCGATCGATAGAAGAAAAATTTGTCATTCGATGAGAATTTGCTGCGTATGTGTGTGTGTGCGCGCGAGCACGCGTGTGATATATACTTAATGTGTACATTCGAATACATTGTAATACTTGCACTTTCAGATAAGCGACGAGAGAGAGTTGAGAGAAGAGTCGGAGATAAACCTCGCGCACAGCGAAGAGAAGGAAATACCGCAGCAGGAGGCAGACATGGACTTCCAACTGAATCCGAACGCGGCCGAGTTCGTGCCGACGGCGGTGTCGCCCACATTGTTGGATCGCAGGAACATCGTCGACTTCCCCATCAGCGGCTCACCGCTGAAGCAGTCGACGCTGGTGATGGATGATATCCCGGTGCCGACTCAGAGCGAATTTGAGGAGGAGGTGTCGCATCGGCCACGGGAGATAGATGAGAAGGATTATACAAACGGCGATCACGACAACTTGCAGGGCTTGGACGTGTCGGAGATCTCGTCAACGCGAGCCGAGTTGGGCGACGAGTCTATCGCACGTATCATGGCGACTACACAACAGTGGAGCTCGAAGATGCGCGACGATGACGGCGTCGGGCCCGAACTAGAGGAATACGATATCGCTACGGATCCTATGGCGATGTCGTTTGCACCGGGTGACTTTGAAGTGGCGTTCGAGCGAAGCGTGGATCTGAACGCCGTGCACGACTTGAGCGGGGCGGACGTCGAGGCTGATGAGAATGAATGTTACGCGCCAATGGACAACACACCGTCGCGCTCACCTGAGCCGTGCGCAAACGACGATCGCGCGCACACGCCCTTGATGGACGACGACAAACCGAACGATCTTTTGCACGCATCATCGACGCCGTACACCGACGGCAAGTCCGAAACCACGGTTATGTCGAACGAGATTTTGAATCTGTCGACGGAACAGCTGGAAACGTTGCCCATCGACCAGGAACTCGGTGTTTCTCCGCTCACAGACGATCACACGAGCGAGCACGAATCGTCTCAGAAATCGGAGCCCATGGACTTGCAGATCGACAACGATCAATTCACGAAGCAAGTCGAAGAAGTCAGCGAAAACGCGCAATCCGCCGTCTCTGATCTGCTAGAGACTCCGAATCCAGCGGAGTCTTGCGCCAAAGAATCTTCTTTGTCGTCCATGTCTCCGATGCAGGATACACTGGAGTGCACTTCGCCGCAACCGGTGGAAGAGGAGACCACGATACCACCCTCCACGGAAATCAACGAGTTCGTTTCAACGGCCTCTGCGCCCATTGCCTCTCCTCTGCACATTGATCTTTGCGAGTTTAAACCGAGCCATCAATACGACTTTAATCTAGATATTTCGGATTTCGTTCCGAGCATGCACGAGGTGCCTAGTTTTCAGGATCTTCAGAATCCGTTGGATTTAGAGGTACCGGCTGCTAAGCAGTACGCAGAAGATGTTGGCTTCGGCGAAGTATCGTCGACGGAAGAAGCGCCGGTAGCTGCTGTGGATCAACACTTGTGGGAGAGTAACATTTATACGAAAGAACTTCTGCAAGAAGATACGGAAACACCGGCGAATTTGACCGCTCAGCAAGAAAACGATAAGCAATCGCTCCCAGACAATGAGGCTGAACTCGCGAACATGAGTCTTTCACCGTCTGAAGAGACAACGAAACTAATAGAATATCTTTCGCAAAGCGACAAGCTGTGTGACATCAGAGCTGACGACATGAAGGTGGCTACCGATTTCTGCGCGATGCACGAAAATATTAATTCGACGATTGATTTGCTCGTGTCGGATCAAATCGTAAAAAACTTCGCAGAACCTATAGAACCTATAGAATCGAGCTACCACAAATTCAAACCTGATGAAGAAGCAATGTCCACGAATGTCGATGTGGATTTATCGGGCGATCTTCTGACGTCGGAACAAACTACGAAGAACTCCGAGGAACTTGCAGATTTACATCATGGCGAGTCGGCGTTCAAGGAGACTAATGAGGAAATACCCATAAATGTCGACATGAATCTGTCGGCTGATCTATCGACGCAAGAACGAGTGAAAAGCCCCACAGAGCTCGTAGACTTGGATTACAGCGAGTCGATGTTCAAAGCTAATGAAGCAGCACCGACGAACGTTGACATTACGGAAAGCGACATAGTTGTGCCAAATCCATTCACGAGCGTGGAAGAACAACCGCAAGAAGAGAAGATCCAGCTGTCCCTGCTGGACGACGCGCCGACGGAGATCTTGGAGTCTAGTAACATGCTAGAACAAGAGATAAAGAAAGAACCTGTAGAGATTGTACCTGCGAGTACTGAGACACCTTCGAAGGAAGCCATCGCCGAGAGCATCCCCGCGAGTACCGAGACACCTTCGGAGGAAGCCATCGCCGAGAGCATCCCCGCGAGCAAACCGGAGACTGTGGAATTGCCGGTGGATAGTGACGTGAAAGTGGACAAGCCGCAGGAAGAAGCAGCTATTGCTGCGGAAACAACGACGACAGCAGTCACAGAAGCTGTCACAGCGGTCGCGGCTGCCGCTGCAGTCACGGCGGCGATCGGCGCTGTTACGAGCTCCACTAAGACGAAAACAGCGACGACTGCGAAACGCCCGACGAAAACTGCCACCGCCACGACGACAACAAAAGCGATCACGTTGACAACGAAGGCGGCGTCAATGAAATCCACGCCGACCTCGCCCTCTAAAGCTGTCGTGAGCACCACGACCGCGCGGACGACGAGCACGACGTCAGCGCAAGCAACAGCAACGAAGAAAGTGACTGCGACACGTCCTAAACAGCTCGACGGACCGGCTAAAGCCGCAGTCTCCAGCACCACCGCTACGAAGAGCAGCGCCGCTGCGAAGACCACAACGGCCGCCAAGAGTGCGACTACGACCACAACGAAAACCACTGTGTCCTCGCGCGTCAACTCTGCTGCGACGAGATCCAGAACCGCGGCTACTGCCTCAGTAACCTCGCCAAAGCCGAGCACCACTAGCGGAATCTCCGATAAGAAGTCAACAACAGCGAACGGTGACGCAAAGCAACTTACAAGTACAAGATCCACCGCTGCCAAGTCGACGACGAGCAAAAGCACGATTAGCAGCAGCGGCGCAAAGACCGCTCCGTTGGTGAAATCGTCGACGACAACCACCAGAACGTCTACATCCGTGATATCGAAGCCACGACCCATGTCCGCCTCTTCGGCTCTCAAGACATCACCCGCCACCTTATCGCCGAAGCCATCGGCGACGAACAGCGGTGTTAATACTGGCACATCGAGACCCAAAACCGCGCCGGTTTCCAGCACCACTGCTAAAGCACGTGAGAACATCGCCAAAGCAAGCACGGTGAAATCACCTATGATCGACAAGCAGATCAAGGAAACTGCCAACAAGCGAATTTCTCTCGGACGCAGCACCGGGACATCGTCAACGACGACGACGACGACAACGACAACGAAAACCGGTCGCGCATCTGCACCAGCCGCTAGCACCGCCAAGCCGCGCGTGACCAGCGCGAAATCTTTAAGCACGACCGCGTCTTCACCCACGAAGAAGACAACGTCGACATCGAAGGTCGTCGCGTCGAGGGTATCGACGAGCACGAAGACTGCGTCGTTGAGTAACAAGGCGAAGCCGTTGCCGAACGGAGTGCCCGACAGCGCGGTCGTCACAGCCAACAATGTTATAACTACGATGATGAACGACAAGCTCGTGGGCCACGACGATGACGTGCCGCGGAAGGACGCGTCGCCGGTGGACGTGCCGACCGACAATCAGCTGATCGTGACCGCCGACTGAATCGGCCGATCGGTGAGCCGAGGATCCATCGCCGTCGCCACCGCCGTCGCAGCCACAGCAGTTTCGCGACAACGCACGCCGGCCTAGGTTATCACACGTCGTCGCGGGTTTTCATCACGTGGACCGACCGATCGACCGACCGACCGACCGACCGATAGGTTTTTCCTTCTTATTATTTATGAAGAAAAACTACACATGCCCACGCGTGAAAACGTACGCTAGTAGTGCTTAGGGAATATATTATAATGTATGTCGAACGGAGAATTTTTACTATCATTACATAAATATATAAATATATATATGTAACGGAGATGTTTCTATCTACGAAAGATCATCTATCAACGAGAGAGAGATGGGTGAGGGAAAGAGGGAATGGAGCGATGCGCATACCCTAAACATTGCTTTCGACATTGCTGCGATTTGCGAAGTTACATCGGAACCAAAATCGTGGATTACCTATTGGAGACGATAAAGGGCAAGTAGAAGAGAAATTTAGAAGAAGGAGCAGGAGAAAATGGAAACGATGGGGATCGATAAGAATTATGTAAATATGGTAATGAGTATGATTTACGTAATATTTAATCCTTGTGCTGAGATCGCGAGAGAAATCAGGTGGTGCTCGTGACGGCCTGGAAAAAAGAAAAAGAAACACAGACTTTTGACTTTGACCCTAACTGAACAATGTGGCGGTATGTTACTCTTAACTTTTAACGAAACTGGATTTTTTACAATTTTTTAATTTTATATGTGCATTATAATTGATAACGCGCGATTACTCGTGATACACCTGCTCGAGCAAAAAGAAACAGAAAAATAAAAGAAAATGGAGGAAGGGAGAGAGAAAAAGATGAAGAGAGGAAGCGTATTTATTCTTGTTTGTTCCTATTTTTAACGTTGAACTCATTATGAGATATACAGGCAATACGAGATATACAGGACGGGAAAGTTAAGGGCATGTCGAAAAGGAGGTGATTCTCTGTGCAAAGATGAGCCAAGAATATTTGATTAGTAAAACCGCATATATTTCGTAAGAATCTGTTCTCTCTCTCCTACATTCAATTTATATGCACCATTTTATGTTTAACAATTTATATTTCCCTGGCGTAGCTTTTATTTCTATCTTTAGTTAGAAACGCCATTTGTTTAATCATTTTTAAATGTATATATTTTATATTTATTTTCAAGATTAGTCCGACGCAACGCCAAATTCTCGAAGATCGTTCGAGCTCAAAATAAAGAAATAAGATTACCAGTTTTCGCATTTTTCAACTCTGACATTTCACGAGTTTATACTTTCGGTTTATTATTCGTCCAATTGGAAAATTGTCTCATTTTCGATTGTACCAATTTCGCCGCATCCTCCTGTATAGTTGGCTCGTAATCATAATAATAATAATATAATTACTATCCATCAATGTACAGCACCCTTTATGGTTTAATGTGATACCTTACATAATATTAAATAAATCCAAACAATGCGAGAGACGGAGAGAGGTTTATATGTGTATGTATATGAACAGAACGCGGGAACAAAAGAAAAAGGAAAAATGACACGGGAAATGGGATTAAAACGATGAAGAATATAAAGAACGAAAGCGAACGAAGGAACTCGAGACAAAATTATTTATATATAATTATATACAAAAGATTCCATATAATTATATATATATATCTTTTTTTTCCTTGGTAAGAAAGAAAAAATGCGAACGGGTGAAGAAGTGATAGTAATACATCCGACATTCTAGGACCACATTTTTTGTGGACGCGTTCGACGTCGCGCGTTCATATTACTTCTTATCACGCACAAGTATTCAAAATGTTCTTTCCTACGTTTAACGCTTTGTAGTTCGATGTTCTGATATGCTTCCATTGTTAGCGCACGCGGCCAAAAGCGACGAGTATTCTCGAATGTGTAACGCGAATATGTAACGATCGAAGAGTGGTATTTTCGGTTTTTTCTTTTTCTTTTCTTTATCACCAACTGGACGTCTGTCAAGTTGAAGTTTGGTTGGATACGATCTTATACGGAGGAGGAGAGCAATGGCGGTACGAGAAAGGAACGAAAGGGAAGAACGGTACGAAATCGGGGACGCGAAAATGTGTTTGGTTGCGCGCGCGCGCGGTAATAGTGAGTAGCCCTTCGAAAAGGGACGCACGACCACGCCTCGTTCTCGTACGTACACGCACAATTATTCGACATGATATGCATTATGCGGCTTCGTATCAGAAACAGAAAGCGAAATACTAGAGCTTAGCAGTTTTTACACGCGTGTTACGGATGCGTGTGCTATTCCGATTTCTTGTGTACGCGTATTTGTCACCATTTATTTTTCTTTCTCAGAATTCATACTTAAATAAATGACATATTACGTTTGAACTGTATGACTCCATACGCGCACACTCATACACACGCACGCATGCATTCTTCAACGTCCGTCCTCTGTAATCCTCACCACGCCTCCTCGTCGTGTCGAGTTTATATTCAAGAAAATGGACAGCTGTGGAGAATGGTAAAGAGGGAGAGAGAAAGCGTGTCCTCTTTCTTTATGTCTGTATCTTTTTAATGAAACAAGGCGGTGTGTATTGTGTTTAAAATTAAGTTAGAAACTTCACAGTCTTCTGTATGTGCGCTTGGCTTTGACGTCACTTGTGTTGGAGGATAAATGCTGAAACGAGAAAGAGGGAGGAAAATTGTGATTAAACATGCGCACATTTTTCTCATTATTATTTTCGTTGTTGCAGCTTGATATTGATGCGCACTTACCACAATTATTCCGTCGTCCGTGAACTCGTAAAGTCGAGTCACCTTGACTTCTGCGGAGAACGAACTCTCGGTTCTGAAGGAGTTGCCTTCCCTCGTGGTGACGCTCTGCGACGGAAGATATGAACGAGATTAGATCGATCTCTCGTTTCGAACATTCGTCGAATTGTACGAAAAGCGCGACAATGGCATTTATGTGATCTTCTATGTATAGTGGCAGATATGTGACCTTTCATATTTTCGACCGAAATCCGATGTCAATAATCGGTGTGCATCTCAACAATCACCTCTATGCCCGTTGTGCCAAATGACACAAAGCAAGATTTATATCAGTTTCGCACGCGAAATGCTTGCGAAAAGCTTGCAAATGAGATATAGAAGAACCCTAATTTTGATATATGCGTGCATATATCTTATAAAGCTTATACTCGATTGCTTTTCACTTAAGGAGTGAATTGACAATTCGTGGAATATTTATTGAATGCAACACTTTCAGGTCTTCCTAACGACCACGTCAAAAAAAGCGAATATATGAAAGAGGAGGAGATCGATGAGAGAACCGATTGTGGATGTCGACGCTACATTTAAAACTTTGTGCGGATGGATAAAATTGTGTAGAGAATATGGTGTTTAGTGGTAAGCTTTATTTATAATGAATTCGACTTAATGGGTAATCTTTTATACTATTAAGTAATGGTAATTGGAGATCTTTTACATACTGTTAAGTTTTACACTATTAAGTAATGTTATTATATTGTAACGCTATTCTCTCGTGGAAACATTTGAAAATACCGCGCCATCTCCGCGATTAGGTTCTTATCAGCATCGGCGATTTTTATTGATTCTATATCCGTACGCCGGTAAATGTTTATTTTTCTTTATGTTTTTATCTTATGTGAGCAAACGTACATTATCCATCAAGATTGCGTAAGAAACGCCAACCAAAGCGGGACTCTCGCCCCAAGTCAGGTATAAATTATACCCGAATCATTCGAATTTTGCTTAGTTTCTGATATTCAAATAAAACTGCCTTTACAGCTGTGTCGTGCGAATTTCACGGCGCGACGTGATTCTGCTCGCGAATCTACTTAATCACGGCCACCGATGACGAAACTCACCTTGAAAGAAGCCGGCAGGGACAACATCTGCTCCTCGTAGGTCTCGCCGAGCTTGAAGGTGGCTGAACCGCTCTTACCCTTGTCGGTGACTGAAACGGTCCACTGATCGCCGTCCTGCTGGACCTCGACGACCGGCGACGACTGCAGGAACGTGTCTATGAGGTCGTTATTGCCCAAGCTCTTGATGTAGTTGTCGAAGTTCTCATCTGATACGTGCTGGTACTTGCCGACGATCTGCACCATGATGGAGAAGTTTTACGATTATCGTCGAGAGAGATGAAATTCGCCTAGAGTGTGCACCGTCGAAGAAAGACACACGGCGCGCCGTTGCGCGCCGGCTTTTATAAGAATATCCGGCGACGACGACGACGGCGGTGGCAGCAGCGGCGGTTTTTGTTAAGGGATCGTCGGCTCGTTCATCGGCTGAAGAGAGGGAGAGAACCGTTGCCGGCTAATCTGTGATGATTCCGGACAAAGTATTCGACAGATTACCATCGCCAAACGGGCAGACGGACGGATGGATGGACGAACGGGCAGACTGACTGCCTCTTGTCGTTTTATCATCGCTTATGTGTATTTTCGCGTTCCTCATGGTGGTGTGCGTGCTGCACCGCCAAGAGAAAATGGGCAGGACAGCGACGGCGACGGGTGAACTGCCATGAGGGAGAGATGCATTTATTTGCGTCTATTTACGAGCACTTATCACGTCGGTTGCTCGCTACTTACATCCTGCAGCAAGTCGTGAGCTTGAAGGAGGAAGACTCATGTTTTCTTCTTCCCTTGCTTGCAAGAGACGTTCTTTTGCCGCGACTTATCATCGACATCGACATTATACCGTCCCCATGTCATGTGCTCAGACACTCGAGGGAAATTGCTTCATGTACGATCGCTTGTAAATCAAAATTCAGGGGTGTTTCACCGAAAATGCACGACTAAAATTGCGGCATGAGTGTTTTTCGTCATCCTGTATCTCTGCTCAATTTTTTAGACTTTTTTTAGGCAAATGGACACGTTGCCGAAGGATTATTGTACAATTCATTCGACGTGGCGTCGAATGTTCGTCGTAAAACGTTTGTCGAAATAAATCTACAATAATCGTTGATACTCCAGAGAATATTCTATTATATTTAATCATAACTGTTGAGTGCACGAAGTTAATCAGTAATGAGATACGGGCGGTTTGTATCAATCAAAACGATCAGTTTCGTTAATTACTACAGTAAAACAACTGATTTACCTATGCATTACACGCACACCAATAGCGAATCCAAAAGTTTTCACAATCCGCCCGAAAGCGCAAAGCTTATAAAATGAGCAAGTTTTAAGTTTCTTAAAGCCAGCTTTAAAAATATTTAGTTAACGTCATTGATCAATCGAAAGTTTGATCTCGCCAAAAATTTTTCTAAGCATTCGCTCATTATCAATAACTTTCCTGAATGTTCATATAGGTCCTATCTCATATAACGAGTAGATTATAAATTGCACTTATCGCAAAAATATAGGTAGATTTTTATTGCATTGTGAGCAATAATTTATACAGTAGGTGTTCACCTCACTTGGCCGGTTGTAATCTGAATAATACACGAAAATGCTGCGAATCCTGACTATACCTTACGATAGGAAAATACTAATTGTGCATGCACCTTCAATTGTGCTTATACATAACGCCGGTTAATTAGCAAATGATAGATATATTCAGTATATCCGTTATTCGTCTATTAGTCGGCATTAGTTTTCGCAGAACGATTATAAACATGAGAAGACAATTTTATCGACAATTATACGCTGCTCAAAACAATTAGGGGAAGATTTCTTCCCAAATATAGCTGTATGGTTTGTTAGATATTTTTGAGGTTTAATATCGTATACTAAACATCCTATTTGTTATATTAAATTTCTATTAATATCATACTCTATCTTTCTGAATATTACTAATTATTACTTACTATCTTACTGAATTCCACAGCCAATAATTACTGTAGAAGTGATGAGCCACGGGGTCCGTATCTCTTCTGTCACAGACACACACACACACACATGCGTGCACACTTGGCCCGAAGGCCAAAAACAACGATATTTTTGAAGGGCTGTAACTTTGCGAAAAAAGATTGTATCGACTCCATTTTTTTTTCCAAATTGAAGGGGAAAATTTGAACTTTATGACGATGCAAACGGCGTCCCCTAAAAAAAATTGTCCACGTCCGTGCATTCCGTCAAACTTTGCAATTTTCAGTATACCAAACATCCTCAGATGTCAGAGTTACAGGGATAGGGGTGCATCGCACGTAAAAAAATGGAGATACATTCTTAAAGTAGAGACTTCAAGCTTCATTTTGAAAAAAATATCATTAGTCTACAATAATTTTTCGCGAAGTAATCGTCAGTCAAAGTTGGCCAATTTTTAGCAATAAATTATCTATGCTATAATTCTTTTGAGCAGTATAAGTTGTAAATGTTCGATAAACTTATTCATATTTACTGTGACCTCCCTTATTGTCTTATACAATAGACATACAATTATCAATAAAATTATTTAAAATATTTTCTTACATCATTACACACGAAAGGTTATCTTTATCGACATTTGATAAGCTGAATTAAGTATACATGACAGATAATGAGCATAACATCTCGATTAAGAAGTGGAAAAACCGCTGATAAATCCCGTCGAAAAATACGTTTTATGAGAATGAGGTCTATTATAATTGCGTATTAATTATCGCGCAACAATACGCCTCCCAGCTATCTCTATTAAATGGAAAAAAGCTACATCATGGATGTGTAATTGATAGCGAGTGAATTATACACGAATGGATTATGCGCGAAGATGCAAGAATCATCTCGTCGTACGTGATACCTCAGAATTTCGAGTCTCGTTTCGTTTTACTACTGGCTATTCGATCAAATGTCGATGGATTTTTGCTTAATCAAACCGAACACGTGAATGAAGAGAATGAGATGGGTTGTTCAAGAGCTGCGAAAGAAAGTCGCCTCTTTATTCCTCCTGCAAATTCACGCTTCATACATGCAAAGAGTATTCTTGGAACTTCTCTGCTGATTTTAGACTTTAGATCTTTTATAGACTACAGAAATGAATGTGAAGGTATGTTTCTCCATTAAATATTTGCGATTTCTGGCAGGTCGAAAATTAGTCTCTCAGCGCGTGTCATCGAAAGTCCATCGAATTATCAGTTTCTGATCGACAGAGGATTATTTATACGCAGTCATTCGATCGGTTTGTTTGCATCTGATATACGCGTCTATCAGCCACGCCTTATTGCAATATATATATTTATATATATATATATATATACACACATATAGGGTATCCGCGATCTTTCGGAAACGAAAAATTGTGAAGATTAATCACATCAAACTGAGGAGAAAAGTCATGTACTCTTTTGCAAAAATCGCAATAACTATTAAGTTATTAATGATTGAAAATAACTACATCTAGAGGTTCTTTTAATTGATAACTTGAAAATTTGCCTACTTATTTGCAAACTGGTAAAGAACTTTTTTTTATTCAGAATGATCTAATCTACAATTACATAACGGCTATTGTGCCCAGCTGCAGGTTCAAGATTTAGGACTCAAAGTTCAATATACTCATGTTTATATATATATATATATAATTTTTTAATTTCTGGTGTATATCACGTCAGTCGCTGATAACGTTAATAACGTGCGATAACGCTGATTACAAGTGCACGTCTTTCTTTCTCTTCCACGAACGAAAATTGTCACTCGACTCGTGTCGTTATCGCGACTGTCCGCCCGACCGTCTGTCCGTCTGTTTGCCCATCCGTTCGTTCGTCCATCCGTCCGCCACAGCTCCGGCTTCCAAAACCATAAGTATAGCCTTGAATTGACAGCTAATTGCCAGTGATGAGCATACATCAAAGACTTAGACGATGCGACACGCTGCGCCGCGCCGGTCACGTGACGTCCCGTCTCATGCGGGATGAATGAGCTTATTCCCATTAAGAACGTACGATTCTTTACGTTGCAGGACGCTCAATTGAATTTATTATACCTTTCTCCCTTGTCGGGATGTACGAATGATTGTTCGTACGATCGATAGCCGGCGACATTTCGCCGCGAGTCGCTCAGCCTGAACGGTTCTTGCTCGTCGCTGCGAGACCGAGCGAATCGTCGTTGTTATTGTTGTCATAGCCATGTTATTTATGCAATGAATATAAAACGAACAAGATAATTTAATATTTAAATTTTAAATAATTCAAAATTTAAATGGTGTGAGAACGCAATATTGCAATATATCCAGCATTTTGTACAGCAATCTTTGTTTACACGCACACACGCACGCAACACACACATACACACAGACATATATATTAATTCATCATATTTTATGCATGAGAAACAAAGATCGCCTACCGGACGATCCAATAACTGCAGATAAAAAATGTTGCATGACGTAATACTATTTATATAACGTATGCGTATATATATATGTGTGTATATAATATACACTTATATAACGTGTTTTAATATTTTATATTTAAAGTTGTATAACGTGTCTTAATATTTAAGTTGTATTATTGTTATATCGCGGTTGCTAGTAAATAACAGAGCAATATAACAATTCTGAGACAGTCATGAAAGTCTTACAATTATGAAAGAAAATCGTAATGTAATCTCAATATTAATAGCTGCTACTATATTGCGTGTTATCTCTATGTTATATAAGTTATATTCTGTGTTACTACCGCGTGTCACTGAGATTTTCGTATTTCCTCATTACTCTCCGTGGACATTCGCAAATATTTCATTTATCATATGGCAATTATGACTTAAAGCTACGTTTCTCTTTTTATCATTAGCCAAAAAATTAAGTATCTAACAATCGGAGAGAATTAACTCGACATATGTACTTATATCTTTGCTGCGAAGAATGCGAGGTTTGCGTTATTCTAGGAATTTCAAGTCGTATCAAGTCACGCGAAGCGCAATTCATAATACGGTCGATATAACGATAGGGGGTATTAAATATTTTTTGAAGTATATATGAAGTATGTTCAATGATAAAACGTGTCCTTCGACCATGCAGATTAGTCAGTAGATAATGTCGTCGGAGTCTGCACAGTTACGCAACGCGACGATGGTTTTTCCGTCTACAAAAATACGAGATAACAATGCAGGATTGTTTCAGTAACAGTTTTCTTTATTTCGATGTGCAAAAAATTGATGTTACTTTGGTACGTAATGGACTACGAGACTGTCGCCCACGATTAATCCTGAGAATTTCGGCAACGATTCTATATGCTAGAGAGTTCATATTAAAATCGCATATAATCCGTGTATCCTGTCGGCGTATCTAAACTCTTTGGGATTGAATCCGTGTGAGGAAGGGAGAAATAGAGAGAAAGAGAAGGGATGAAGGAAATGTGTATAAAATGTTTCACGATTTATAATGAATTATAAAAAAACGCGATGTTTGAAAAATACAACATACAACAAATTGTAAATGTGTTCCAGCAGTCGCAAGCCGTCGCAAGACGCAACGTCTTCTTAAGAATTCCGTGAGCTTTAACATACTGACATAATATTCTATTACAGAATAAATATGCAAATTGTCTCAGAACTGCTGATCTTAATATTCCAATGATAGAGATTAATCCTCTACGGAACTTAAACTTGGAAATATTGTTATTGCGATCGAGCGACAAATCCTATTATGCATTTAGCTGTAACATCCTCGGGACGTTGAATCGATTTTAAAAGTAATAAGTAAACTGAAAGTTTAACACATTACGAAGTCACATCGAATCATTTAATTTGACACCCGCCGAGATTTTCCTTACAAAATAAAAAAATAAGCCAAATAAAAACAAAAGGAAAACTCTAAAAACTTAAAAATTAAATCGCGAAATTAAAACCGCAGAGCTGAAACATTTCACATCGGGCACTTCAAATTCTTTGCACTCTTATTAATTTTGGGAAATGAGTAAAGAAATTATTATAAGAATGGAAAGGATTCTTATCGTTTGTTTTCATGTCTCAATATGTATAAATATAAAATTTTCGATTAATCTTCAACAAAACGCATTTAAAATAATCGTTAAGGATATCTAGTAAACAGCTAAGGTGCTCAGAAAATCTGAGTAATAAGTAAGTGAAAGTACGGCAAGTCAGAGGCATCCTATACATATCTAGAAAATTATAAATTAACAATAAATATTTTAACTACAAGTCTGACATGACGCAACTGTAAAGCATAAATTATTGATGAGCTATGTACATGTCTAGATGCCCTCTCACGAATTGAATGAGTCTAAATAATTGGGAACACAGTTGTCATTAAGTACAAGGCATTTCTATGCATGTGTATGTGTACGCGCGCGCGTGTGTGTGTGTTTTCTAATATCTATAATTTACATAGGCAGAATAGTACAGGGATGAAAGCACCGACGGCTATGAAGAGAGGCAACATCATAGACGAATCGTCTATCAAGTATGGATCGGGTGTTCTGGGTCCACTCGTATGTCGATTACGCACGGTAGTTTCTTCCTCGTCTTCCTGCATACTGTGATATTCCTCCGGATCTTGTGGTATCGGCCCTAACTGCGGTATATCTACACAGAGAAAAGAAAAGGAGAGAAATATTCACATAAGCCTAAGTTTCAACAGAAGTTCATTTATTTTAATTGTTAGAAAAAATATCAATGTAAAACATATACCTCCTAATGCTCCTTTTACAACAGCTATAGCATTTATTTTGGGATTATCCCTATAACCCTGTGTGAAAGAATAGAATTATAATTACATGTTAAACATCATTATATGCATTATATACCGATATATTACCTTGATGAATTCTACTCTTATCTTTCCTGCCAGGATATCAGATTCCTCGTCATTATATATTAATCTTCCACCTTGTACTCTGAATGGGACATATTCATCATGTGCAATACCTCTACCGACTCTCTCAAAGATATCCAAATCAGTAACCACTGTATGGTCCCCATTCAATACTACATCGAAGACCTGTGTGCATAAAATCCTGTTATTTTTACTGTTTCGTCATAGTAATGGATATGAGAAGAAAGTAACAACTTACAAATATCTATCTAAGTAGCAAAACTTACCTTCATATTGGGAGAGTTGAAGTAGACCTCGCAAAACTTGAGTATCATGACGTAGTCCCCATCCTGACTGATTGGTATATCATAGCCAAAGGTGTTGTGATGATAACGCTCCGTCTGGTAGAGGATTTGGTCCACGTTGTTGATACGTCCTATGATCAATTGTTTACCGTAGTCGGATGCGGTGCCGACCTTCCCCATCAAGGGATCCCTGGCGTAGCGTATGCCGTAGCTGTCTGTGTGCGACTCGCCGCCCGCATTTATCGCATATATCACCTCCAAGCTGTATGACACAGGAGTAAAGAAACCGAAGAGTAACAACGGTATCGCCAGGAGATTCCACGTTGGCAGACGCATTTTTAGTTAGTCAAGCGTGTCATTTGCGTCTCGACGAAATCCGGCTCGTTTCGTTTCGTGGATGACAGCGGCAACGTGCTCATAACTCGGGCACGTCCCTCAGAATCCGCGATATGGCACGCTTGAACAGTGCAATCACGGCATAAGATCGCATCGAATCGTCGCATTCATTTCACAACAAATCGCGCGTAAGTCGAACACACATAACACGCTCTAAGCGCTATCGTGTCCACTGGAAAATATTGATATACAGCTGTGTGGCCATATGTACTTCTATCTGCACCACGATGGCATCGTTTGTTTCTCTGTTTTACTGATGACGGTCAGCCCGATAGTATTAACAGTTCTTACAATACCTAGAAGATGTCACACTTATAACCCATCGTCTTCGTCGCCGACGGCTAAATATAATGCGATTTGGAAAAATTAGGTTCAGGTCTTCGCTAAATTTTAAAGAAGGTAAACTTTTCTAAAACTTGAAACTATAGTTTGAATTTCGCCTAAAAAGCGAATTTTAGCCTTTAATCTTTATGTTACAACCGTTATATACGACAAAGATTAGAGTAGGTTCCAGATTGCTAAAATTTTAGCACATGAATTTTTTTGAGTAGCCACAAAAGCTGGCAAAATCAACGTCATATTTAAGAATATATTGTCGTAAATTATATCTCAATTTTCATATAAATTAAATAATAATAATGCGATCCTAATATTCTTTATACAGCGATAATGAATAGAACTGCTAGAAGAATAAGGCACGTCTGATTCAGCCGTGATTGAGTCGTACTACTACCGCAATTCGTCGATGTGTACGGTGGCGACTCGTAGCGGAGACTTGGGAACTAATTTGAGAAAATAACGGGTCTAATATTTCTGTAAACCCCTTATTTGCTTGTTAAGATAAAATGAATTCTAATGAATGAAAATAAATTTAATGATTGCCATAGACTTTCTATTAGAGAGAGAAAGTGAGCAAGAAAGTGTGGGAGAACATAAAAATAAAGATATGGCTATAATATTAAAAAACTATTTGGGACATTTTTAGCTGAGACTCAAACCACAACTTACCGGCTTCCATAAAATTTTGCCGAAATTCGGACCACAACTTATCGACCTCCATAAAATTTAGCCGAGATTTGAATCACAAGTTTTCAGAAATTATCATTATGTTAATTTAAAAAAATAGTACATTCCTAAGTACAATTTAGTTTTTATTTAGTAAAATTTATAATTATAAACCTATAATTTATATAAAAATAATTATAAACTTATACTTCATATGATAGAATAAAGAATAGCTTCTTAGATCTACTTTATAGAAATGAAGGTCTAAATCAAGTGATTGTTAGACTCGTTATTTTTGCAAATTAGTCCCAAACTTTTCAAATTGCAAATTTCTCGCAAACGAAAGCCCATGCACGCAAACCCTTTAGGGTTTTTATTTACTCAACCCCCCCATTCGAATGAAATATGACTCATTCAATTATCGATTTTACATGTCTTGCCATCTCCTTGACAGTTCACGAAATAGATGAAGTTCAACAAAACATTGCAAAACAAAATACACATAGACTTTATTATGTGCTGTAACTTCGACAAGAATAACGATAACAAGTTGCTTGTAAAAACATTTTAAAGTTTGTAGTCTGTACTTTTCAGGTTTATTAAATTCCAAACATTATTATCGTTTATTATTAATATATATTCAATTAAATGAGATAGTCACTAATCGAACTTCAATTTTATCTTTTAGATTTTATAAAAAATAGTTTTTGCTTCAATGGTAAACAAATTCACATATGTAAATTATGTAAATAACGTTTTGTTGTAACTTCTGCAGAGAAAGTGAAACCAAGCGTTAATCTAGAGAAAAGAAAGGAACTCAAAGTACAACAAATACTAAGCATATCGAATTGTACATAAATTTATACATAAAGAATCGACGTATGGACATTTATTGTAGCCTTCCAATTTGCAAAACAAAATACACATAGACTTTATTATTTACATAAATACATATAAACTTTATATTAATTTCATAAGAATATAACAATATCAAAATATATTTTGCATTTCACTAAAATACAGTTCATCATTAAATCGCTAAGAGATGAGCGCGTATGCCTGGAATTTTCTCAGGAAATCTATGGCTACTATATCTGCAATTTGTCATTGTCCATTCGCTACTGTTTACAAGCGCACAAGAGATTTATTTCATCGTTCAAAATATAAATCCATGGTCTTATTATATCGTCGGACTATACTCGTCCGAGGTTCTTCGTTTATTTTCAGTAACAGAAAGTTTCAATGAAAATCAAAAATACTTCACGGGAGTGGGAAAAACGTATCTCTCTCTCTCTCTCTCTCTCTCTCTCTCTCTCTCTCTCTCTCTCTCTCTCTCTCTCTCTCTCTCTCTCTCTCTCTCTCTCTCTCTCTCGCTCTTTCCTCGCGAAACACAAGGACGCATATGTTCAGCCGTTTTGGCTTGGACTATAAAAATCGAGCGGATTCGATTTATAAGCGGAGAGAGCCTCCGCTCTTCCTTTCTAATTCGAGAAATTGGTGAGAATATCGCCACGGTTAAAATTAACCGACGCTATCGGAACGGTCAGTACGGCTCGTCTAATTCTCTTTCCTACCTTTTCTGGATACGCAAGTTTTTCTCACGCTTCAAAACGTCCGGCTGGCTCTCCTTTGTTCAAATATGCCCTGAGGGGAGAGATAGTTCAGCAGACAATATACTGCAGCTTCTTTCGCAACCCGTGCAGACGTTGCGTTATTGTGACGTGTCACATCCGGTCTCGTGCTGCATTACCGATATATTTGCTACATATTTCTTTAGAAAAATATACAAGAGAGAAAATTCTATAAAACAATCAGAGTGTTGAATTGAGGGAATATCGGCGGTTTCCGATTATTGAAAGCAAATTAGATCACCGTCAATATTGACGAAGACAGCACAAACTTCGAAAAAACATCTGAAAAAGTATAAGAAAAGAGGACGTCTTTGACATCCTTGAGACATCTTTTAAATGTTTATATTGTCTGAAAGAAAATCTCTCTCTTTCTCGATGTGCAATCATTAGCATAATTATCGTGAATGATATCTTTCTTTCAAGCAATCGCGATATAGTTCGCGAAAAATAATTAAATGTTTTAAATACAGCATTATATTTGTCCTTTACATGGACCAAGTTAAATTAAAATAAAAAGCAAATTAAGTGCTTTAACTAAAATCTTATTTGTTTCAAATATAAAATCAAATTTGGACTCGGTTTTGGTTACATGCGTATTAAAAATATTAATATAATATAATTTATATAAATATTAATATAATTTAATAATAATTAATTAATATAATCTATGTATGCACCTGGACAAAGTTATTCTAACAATAGGATCGCATTTAAAATTAAATTGGATGTATGTTAAGAAGATATTTGAATTAAATTATTTTTTAATGTTCGATTTTGATTTGAGTTTAACATGATTCATAAAAGTACAAATATGAATCATATGCAAAATATGTTTGACTGTTTCTCACGGGACGTAATATGTTAACGTTGAGAACGCACGTGGAAAATTCCCAGTGATTTGTAACAGTATCTGTTCGGTCTGGAGATATTCGACAATATCTCAAGTCCCATATCGCTCTCATAATGCTAGGTTACAGATTGATGACTTTCACTCGCTATATCGTCAGAAACTACATATGGTACTCCTTGAACTTGCCACTACGATCATTCTACGCAATATATTCCCCAGTCGTCGATGACGATACGCGCTTATCGCCGGCACGAATTAGCTTGGTAACGCCCCGACAATATCGCGATACGCATGCACACACTAGCATATTCTTCGTTCGTGATGCTTATCTTAATCCTTCGTATCAGCAAAGCCATAGTTCATCCTTAACGAAAGCAGCGCTAGCTACGGCCCTGGCAGGAAACTATCATATCATGATTACACTCCAGAACCTTCCTCGTCGCCTAGCGAGCTCGCCCGTCGTTGTATTCTGTAAACTCCACATGAGTTGCATTTTCTCGCATATTTTTGTCTTCTTTTATTTTCCATCACACGATAAACGTATAACACGGACACGTGGGTCTTCTCCTATTTAGACGCATATTCGTATACCTATACAAAAGAGACGCATGTCGCGTGCGAACATCTCGGATCGCTCCTACACGTGCCTGTACATATAGGCTTTTACATGATTCAGACTTGTAATCTCGCGACATTTCCGCAACACGTATACGACCGTCTCACGGACGTGGTATCGATCGTTTCGCAGATAGTCGCCGAGCGAACGTTCTTGTACACTCGGCGCTGTACGTACCGTTTCGAGTTTGGCCAAGCTGTGTGCCAGTAATTAATATGGAAATTATTCATAGGGGCTCATACAGCATAAAATGCAAATCATGAAATCATCATGGATGCTCAGAGCGTCTTAGGGCACCTTTAGGCATTTTGGACATCACTGGGATGTCGTTTCGCGTGGGTCTTCTCCTATTTAGACGCTTATTCGTACACCTATATAAAAGCGATCGTTTTTTGCAGGGAATATACATAAAGAAACGATATTTCTTTTCTTACCGACGCAAAAATAATCGTGCTTGTTACTCGAGTACAGCATGAAATTATGATGACAACAAGATGACGAGAATATGATGAATCATGAAATAATGAATTTTCCTCATTCTAATCTAATTTAATCAAAATTTTCTCATTCTAATATTGACGTCATCATGATTTTCTGTTCTGCCTGAGTCAATGAGGCAATCGACGATAAGATGAAAATGTGATAACTTCGTAGTAATAAAGCTGATGTAACTTTCTTCTCTGTTGTAATGTAAGAGCAGCTGTGTGTGTTGCTATGCGGCAGAAAGGTGTGGAAAACTCGAGAAACCACCACGTTCGACCAATGCACAGCGAATACGTCGGATTTTCCAAGACCTGCAATTCACCGTGAGTGCGAATTTTCATTGCGCAAGAGGAAAATACAGCAATAATCTTCACACGCATGCAGAATACGGAATACACAATGACGCTTGATTAACGATCTCAGGATTATACCATTCTCTCTCTTCACACTCGCTCTTCGGAAATGCTCTCCAGGGCGAGAGAGGCTTTATCGCGAGCGTGTGCATGCGACAAGAAATTTTCCGCTCATAAAACTCTAAAGAGACAACATTGCACGTCGAGCCGGCGTGCGCAATTGCCGTTCATCATCGAGCGTTATACAGCAAGGGTTACCGATGGTCAAGGCGGGACGGCCACACGAAGGTGTTCCTTTTCTGCTCGCTGTCGTCCGTCGACACGTGGACGCTCCTTGACGAAGGTTTCCCATGAGAAATAAGACACCGATCCATGTGGCCGTGCAAAGCGCGGGGACAACCTGCCGGAAAACGAGCGCGGCGCGATCGATCCGTGCTTTCTTCCTCGAGCGATCAATTTACTGACGTCATGGCCGCATACGCGAATTCCAGCGGGACCTTGAGCGTGTGTCACGCCGCGCTTTTTTATCGCACCTACGTAAACGCGTGAGCGCGTATAGGTGACGCGCGCGCGCGCGCGTGAGCGCGAGCGTTTCTAGAATTAGGTTCTCAATCTTTCTTCGTCTTTCCTCATCTTTCTCCCCGTCCGTCGATCGTCCGTTATTCCAAGCGGAAGTGATGACCTACGCGACGCTTCCGTTCCCGCGCGATCAATCGATCGATTGAACGACGTGGACGAAGGGATCGTATCGCGTCGAACGTTCCCCGAGGGTGAGCAATAATTCAGTGGAAAGCCAAGTGGACGATAAAATTCGTAGTGGATGCGTCGAACGAACGCGTGATCGATAAAGACGCGCGCGCAAATTGACACTCGCCTGACCCCCGCAGTGAAACCAGGTCGGAGATTCTCGACGTATCGGCCGCCGGCGCCGGGGGAAGCGGCCGCGCGATTGGTCGCAGCGGGTGCCCCTGTATGGAAGGAACGTTCCAGAAACTGCTGTGGACTTGATATATACTGGTGCAAGGGCGCGGACTCGTCACTCACGTTGCGAATCGTTGTACGGAGAACTTCTTCGCTGTCCTAGGACTCGAATTCTCGTCAAATTAAACTCTCGCTCTTAGGCAAACCGTAAGAAAACAAAGTATGTGTCGGCGATCGTCGCTTTTCTCCGACGTAGAAATCTCCTCACGTAGAAATCTCGTGGGGATCATCGTGCGTCTCATCGAGATCAGACGAAGTACTTCTCCCTGTTGCAGAGTCAGAAACAATGGCGAAAGCACCCGCAGTCGGTATCGATCTTGGCACGACCTACTCCTGCGTCGGCGTTTTCCAACACGGCAAGGTCGAGATCATCGCCAACGACCAGGGAAATCGCACGACACCCAGCTATGTGGCCTTCACGGAAACCGAGCGTCTCATCGGAGATGCCGCCAAGAACCAGGTCGCCATGAACCCCAACAACACCATTTTCGGTGAGTTTCTACATTCTCTTGAGCGTCACCTTGTACCGCTAGATCTAATTCAACTTGCATTACGTCACGAGATTATTAGACTTGTCGACGGCTTCCGAGGATTCGCCTCACGTCACAATCGCCATGATAGCGCCAGTATGGAAGTTTCTAGTTTTACATGTACATATATGTCTCACTTATTCTTTATGGCACGTCCTTCATCGATTGACTTTGCTAAAGTGGGGAATAATTTAATGAACATGAAACTGCTGACTCATAGGAACATCTATATATTGAAAAAGGAGGAGCTTTCTCTGTTGTAAACTTATTACTATCTATCGCTGTTTAATTTCAATAAAAAAGTAAAATTTTGTATCATTTACGAGATTCCTTTTTCCAAACAAATCAATATTAACTTGATGAATGATTTATTGAGAAAAATGAGAGACAAAAATATTTCCTATCATTTTGTTGAATTTCATCATTTTCTATATAAAATGAAAAAATCTTTCGTGTTATTGATTTTGATTTTTTTACTTTAATCTTCCAGATGCCAAGAGGTTGATTGGTCGTCGCTTTGAAGACCCAACTGTTCAGGCTGATATGAAACACTGGCCATTTACTGTTGTCAATGATGGTGGCAAACCAAAGATTCAAGTACAATACAAAGGAGAGACAAAGACTTTCTTCCCTGAAGAAGTGAGTTCGATGGTCTTGGTAAAAATGAAGGAGACCGCAGAGGCGTACCTAGGCAAGACTGTCACTAATGCCGTGATCACCGTGCCCGCTTACTTCAACGACTCGCAACGTCAGGCAACCAAGGACGCTGGCACCATCTCAGGCTTGAATGTATTGCGTATTATCAACGAGCCCACCGCCGCCGCGATAGCGTATGGTCTTGATAAGAAGGCCACCGGCGAGCGGAACGTCCTGATCTTCGATCTCGGTGGTGGTACTTTTGATGTATCTATCCTGACGATCGAAGATGGTATCTTCGAGGTCAAATCCACGGCAGGTGACACTCACTTGGGTGGCGAGGACTTCGACAACCGTATGGTCAATCATTTCGTGCAGGAATTCAAGCGCAAGTACAAAAAGGACCTGACCAGCAACAAACGCGCTCTTCGTCGCTTACGTACTGCATGCGAACGCGCCAAGCGCACCTTGTCGTCCTCTACGCAGGCGAGCATCGAGATCGATTCGCTTTACGAAGGAATTGACTTCTACACTTCCATCACCAGGGCGCGTTTTGAGGAACTTTGCGCGGACCTCTTCCGTGGTACTCTCGAACCTGTGGAGAAATCGCTGCGCGATGCGAAGATGGACAAGTCGCAGATCCATGACATCGTCCTGGTCGGTGGCAGCACGCGTATCCCGAAGATCCAGAAACTCCTGCAAGATTTCTTTAACGGCAAGGAGCTCAACAAGTCCATCAATCCGGATGAGGCTGTGGCATACGGCGCGGCGGTGAAAGCCGCTATCCTGCACGGCGACAAATCCGAGGAAGTGCAGGACTTGCTCCTCCTCGACGTCACGCCGCTCTCCTTGGGTATCGAGACCGCTGGCGGTGTCATGACCGCGCTCATCAAAAGGAACACCACCATCCCGACGAAGCAAACGCAGACCTTCACGACTTACGCCGACAATCAGCCCGGCGTATTGATCCAGGTCTACGAAGGTGAGCGCGCCATGACCAAGGACAACAATCTGCTGGGCAAGTTCGAGCTCAGCGGTATCCCGCCCGCGCCCCGCGGAGTACCGCAGATCGAAGTTACTTTCGATATCGACGCCAACGGTATCCTCAACGTCTCTGCCGTGGACAAGTCCACCGGCAAGGAGAATAAGATCACCATCACCAACGACAAAGGTCGGCTCAGCAAGGAGGATATCGAGAGAATGGTGAACGAGGCTGAGAAGTACCGCAGTGAGGATGAGAAGCAGAAGGAGACGATCGCAGCTAAGAACGGGCTCGAATCTTACTGTTTCAACATGAAGAGCACCGTTGAGGATGAGAAGCTCAAGGACAAGATCAACGCAACGGACAAACAGACCATCTTGGACAAGTGCAACGACATCATCAAGTGGCTCGATGCCAACCAGTTGGCTGACAAGGAGGAATACGAGCACAAGCAGAAGGAGCTCGAGGCAATCTGCAACCCGATTGTCACGAAGCTCTACCAGGGTGCCGGTGGTATGCCTGGCGGTATGCCCGGCGGCATGCCAGGTGGCTTCCCTGGAGCTGGTGGTGCTGCACCCGGTGGAGCTCCCAGTGGTGGTGGCGCATCCGGTCCCACCATCGAAGAAGTAGACTAAGTCGAGATCATCGTTCCTGGCTTCGATTCGTCACTGCCCATCATCGTCAACAAACAATCGCCAACAAAACCACCTGCAATCACTAGGCATTCCTTCGATTTGGAAATAACACGAAGCAATAAACACGAATGAACGAACATAGAACCGTTATACAGCCGCGGTTTTTCCTACGATCATTCCGTTTCCTCGCATTGTAGGGTGTTTGGCTAATTAGCGATCTCTCAAGGGTTCCTCTTTTCCTTTGTTTTTTTCATATCATTGCCTCATTTTTTATATTTTCGAGTGAGTAATTTATCTCACACATCCTACATTCTACTTATTTATTTTGTCGTTGTGCGCGCAGTACTTAGAATGCGATTGTTCGTCAAGATCCGTTATTTAACCTATATTTCAGACTTCGTAAAGATGTATACAGAAGGATTTTCAAGATTGAACATCGGCGTTTCTCTGCTACTTCTGTAATAAACACGTAGGCTAGTTAACACTTCTATACATATAACGAGACCGACCGTTGCCAATGTTATATATTGTCAATAGTTGGTAAACAATGTCGACATATTCAAGTCCAAGTTGGGTTTTATTTGTGAGCGTTGAAGTATTATAATTCTTTTTTTTATTACGATTTTTTAAATCACTTGTTCTCAGCTTCTAATGTCAAAATGTATTCAAATTTTTATTTTACAAATAAGATTCAGGTTTTCCTGATTTTTGATGTGATTAAAATTTTCCTAGCTATTGTCAATTGTATTAATTTCTTATGAAATCACTGATTAATTTCACGATTTAAAAAATTAAATTCTTCGTATAATTTAATACTTGTAGATTATTTCTCAACTACCCTTATACCTGTGTATTGTGGCATGTCACTTACAGTTATTAACAATAAAAACTAGAAAGTTCTAGTAGTCGAGTCTCCTCAATGTAAAACCAACAATTGAGGAATAATATGGATAAATACGTTTCTTGAAATCAATAGAAATTTGATAGAGATTTTTTAATTATCATTTATAAGACTTACATAATCTGTTTTGGAATTCGCTAAAACATCAACACTGATATAAATTAAATGAAACTTTATTCATATGTTCAATAGGCCAGTACTTCGTGGCAAATAAAGCATAATAAATTTCCGTACAGTGCTATTTTACGTACGTGTATTTAATACGTTAAAGGTATCGAATTATAAACAAAATCTTTCTACAAGTGATCCAATGGACGTTCTACCAAGGTAGGTTTCTCATCAATTACCATAGACATACACAAATAATATCAGAAGAAATATCAATAAATTTTTCCTGTTACGACATACTTCAATATAAATCAGTTTTTTATCGTATATCCACTAATTCAATGTTATAGATAAAACTCACTGAACTTCATTTTTTTTTGTTTATGGATCAAAGGAAAATTTATCAATAAGTTTCTAAAAATTGATAATTATAAATTATCGATTGTGTTGTAAAATCTATTTTTGTCGTAATAAAAATGTAAGATGACTATATAGATTAAATACTAACGCAAAGTGAAGTTTCCGAGTGACAATATATATGACAAAATTCAACTTCTTTCATATTCTGAGAAATTATCCTGTACAAAACACAATTTATATCATGTCTGGTGACTGATGAGGAGCCTTTGACATCACGCATATCGCGCAAATAATATAAAAATATGTTTTAATCATAAACAGATAATTGTAATTAAGATGCACACGTCATACCGGTCGCAAACAATACAGTCCTCTTAGTCTTCTTCTTTTTCTGCTTCTTATTTTTCTTACCAGTTGTGTTAGCCGCTTCTCCTGCAATAAGGATCCAAATGACGGAATGTATATATTGAAGTAATAAGTTCGACAATTTTATGTATGTGTGATCGTAATACCTGAATCATCTAATCTGGTTTGTTCTAATGCACGAGCAAGTGCATCGCCAAGGCATTGATTGTTCGACGGCGGGGAGGCATAGTATGCTTCTTCTACGTCTTCATCCTCATTGGATACTATACCGACTGCACCGGAACGCGTTCTTGATGGTATCGAAGTAACAGATGGCCAAGCATTAGTGGATTTTATAGGTGTCCTGGTATTGCGCAACATCTCTGCAAACGATGGCCCCTGCTGCTGCTCGTGCGAATGTTCCAAAAGCGAGATGTTCTCTTGTCCTGCAGCGACTTCATCAAATGTACTTGAAGACGACGAACTGCTAGCGATACTCGACATGGTTGTCGGCTCCGGAGATGACAGTGCGTGTTGCCTGTAAATACAAGCAAAATCCAAGTGAAGTCATGTTTACAAAGAAAGTATCAGCGATATTGAGCGCGATAAAAATTATCTTGCTCACTCAGAAAATAATAGCTCCGGATTCCATTGTGGAAAGTGTCGATTCGATTCAATGTTTATGTTGGGTGTTGGATATTTGCCCATTCGTTTGTTCTGTTCTTCTGTAATCTTTTTATCGCGTTTTTTTTCCTCACGCTCTCTGCGCTGTCTACGCTCCTTTCTTAGATTCAATTGATCTGTTGACAAAAGGACCAAACAAATGACATAAACAATATGATGTCCGTTAAGAGCAAATATTTCAAGGGATGATAATTACCGCGAAAAGCATGAAGTACATGATCGGACACAAGCGGTGGTCTTAATTCGATCTCCGCTAATTCAAACTGGCAAGTAAGTGGCAGATGACAAAGATATCGCAATCTTCGTTTTAAATCTTCCGTATAGCTGCCCGCTTCCTTTTCGAGAAGCTTGCCTGTTATCACAGACGGGCAATGTTCGAGATCGCCGTATTGCATTTCCAACATTTTCACATTCATCGCATGAAGATACAAATGTTGCCCGTCATCGGCTGAAAATCAATTTTATATAACGTTATTGTTTATCTCACTGAAATTATGCGACACATTCTACTTGGAAACATATATTCGGCTACTTCAGGCTGTGATTATTTACCTTGATAAAAATAAATAAATCTGGAAGGACCTGAAGCACACTGGTTATCGTTGGAAGCACTATCCACAATTTTTGAGGACTGCTCTGCTGGAGCAGTCTCCAAAAATTCGGTATCGTTCTTGCAACATGCATCAGTATTTACTTCGTTCTCTCGCGATGTTTGCTGAGCGACTTTTTTCTCTGTTATATCTTCCATGGATAAAGAGTCTTCCGAAGCCTTATATAGCGCATATTTTTCTCATTATTCGGCTAGTTATTCTAGTACATAATTATATAAAGTCACACTAAAGTTACCTTCAGCAGTAGCTCATTCTTTCTCTGTGACAGCTCATTGAGAGCTTGCTTGATGTAACAATCCGGATAATTATCATATTCGAGTTTCAGCTGAACACGTTCGAATTCTATGATGTTTATAATCTAAAGACAATCGTTACGCATCCGTATTATCATTTTCGTTCTCACAATTATAACACATCAAATTTACCATTACAGACTTACGTCTTGTACGCTTGCAATGAGAAGTTTCGAATAAATTTGATTATCAGAATTTTCTGAGACAGATAAGAATATTGTCGGTGATGTTTGCGCCGTTGATTTCACGGGTATTGCGAGTACAGAACCTCTTTCGCGTCGCATCAAACGTAAATTTAATGTATCGCCCAAATTGAATGTAGTCTGTGTGATCTCAATCATGCTGGAAAATACAAGATTAAAATTTCCTCCGAGAATATGTCTTCGAGAGCATCTTGTAGCTCGGCGTGGTAGATTTGTACCTTTTTAAATCATTTTTATAAACGGTGGCGTAACAAATGGGACATTTGCATGAAGCGTCTTTTTTGTCAGAGACATCTATGTAATGAAGAATACAAGGCCAACAATAAACGTGGCCACAACGTGTCATCTTGCCTGCGATTGGTGGACATAGACAAATGGGACAGGAGAGGTTCTCCGAGCTGCGAACTTTCTGTAAAAAGGAATAATTCAAATTGAAAAAATAAGTACTCTTATGCGGTGTATAACAAAGTGTTGTGAATCATTTTACATAACAACCAAATAAATGAGTTGTAACAGCAATAACTTACAATTTGTTCAACTGACTTCCAATCCACAAGAACATCTGGATTGGTCCAATACAGAGAATAATCTCCACCCGCAATCACAACAAATTGGCAACTACCAAAGAAAAAGAAAAGGCAATTGCAAAATTTCATAATCACTTTGATATCCATATTATACATCTTAATTGGTAAAGTCATTAACATTCATTTCATTTCATTAACATCATAACTGATGTTTAGATGCAACAGCAACATTATTACCTAGCTTGTAGGAATTGCTCCTTGTTGTATTTATGGCGTTGTATCGGTGGAAGCCATCTGTTACTGTTGTGATTACTCCTCATCGACTTGCCCATATTCCTATTATGAGCATTCCTCGGCTCATAATGAAAATTCAGCAGATGATTGCCGTTCAGCAGGTAATTCTCCTTTTTACATCCATGAACCAATACTGAGCCAGGCTCAGCCCATTTTGCTGCCACTACCTATGTGCATACAAGAATACATGTTTAAAATGTAAGATTCAACAAATTTAGAAAGAAACATCACATATTTTGTAAAGCAGACCTTGGTATTCTCCTCTGTACTGCCATGATATTGTCCTTTAGCTCTCGGTCTCTTAACAGTATCTTTTGCTTTCTGTACGTTCCACTTTCTTGGTTGTTCATTCTTAGAGAAATTACTGGCGCCGGTAAGTTCCCTCTTGCGCTTCTTCTGCGGATAGACCTTGGTATTAACGACATCTGAAATATAATACATAAGATGATACAAAGGTAGCTGATAGAGAATGAGGATGAGCGAAGCGCGCAAGCACAGCGAAACAGCTGGCAGCATGCTAATCGCTTGGCTCACGATGTCTTTGATTACACGTACCTTGGTTCTTCTTGGCATCAGCACCGGCCCCCTTGGGCGGGGATGGCGGAAATTTGTTCTTTATGTCCATTTGCGCGAAGACCGTGCAATTCGGTCTGGTAACTCGCCTCGTCAATGCTGCAGTCTCCTCCGTTTGGAGAAACGATATCTTCTCGCAGGCCCTTCATCTTCTTCAATAAGCCATGTTTCGTCAGTACCAAAGTAGTAAAAAATACGTGCTCCGTTGTGCGTCGACTAATCGACAGGCCGATGCGGTGGTACACGAAGGTACGCGAATAGCGACGGAGCGGAACGCTCGCTTTTCTCGGGGGAGCAGTCGGTCTCCCGCTTCCGTCGCCAACGACGACGATTTCCGAAGGGTAAGCCTAACGACGGTCACGATCCCGTGTCCCCGTCGCTATGATGGCGACGATATTAACGATCTACGGAAGCGGAAGCCGACAGTGCGCGCGCGTCTGCGATGCGCATGTCGCACATCCACGACCACGTGACAGATTTCAGTAGACTCGTACTCGGTTTAGGGCACTTTTCGAAATTTATGTGAACCATTTACATTTTTCATTCGTGCTTATGCTGTTAATACGTAAAATATATCAAATGTCAAAATATTAAGCACGCAGCATATTAGTTCTATAAAAATTTTAAACGCATGCATTTAATATTGAAGAAATAAACAGAAGAATATGTATCGACTTCTGCAGAGGTTGCAACTAATTAGCTTTATATTTTAATCAGTAAAGATCTTAGAATGCTTGATTAGTAAGGATGTTAGAATATTGTTGAGAGACCTTGAAGAGTTCCTGGGGTCTCGGTAAAAACGGGGGCACGGCCCTGCATACACATGACGTGGCGGGCGGATTGTCAGGGCCACCGATAAGTGGTCGCGCGCGCATCTGTCTCAGCAGTTTCAATCAGTCTGCGAGCACAAATCATTTATTGGCGTTGGACGACAACAATCGCGCGAACATGCGTTTCGTGCCGCTTTGATTGCCGAGTAGAGACAGCACGTAATTCGTGTCGACAGTCCGTCCGCAATTGAAGGTAAGCACAGCGACGCGTTCGCTTGTTGCACTTGCTCGTTCGCTCGCGTTCCATCCGAACGTGATTTCGCGTCCACCCTCATTAAGATTGATCGCAATAATTTTGCAATCATGCGTAAGCTTGTTCAGATACGCATGTCGATGCACGATAACGTATACACGCCATTCTATTTTCATGCATGGTCTTAAGAACGAGAATATGGATCCAGGTATTTAGGTATATCATTATAGCGCTATGTTTCTTCCCTTACATGTTTCCAAGTGTTATGCAAAAAATAGAGTCAATTGCTCTGGAGTTTTATTTGGGTAAAAACTAGAGCGCGACGTATATCTTGAACTGTGTACAGAAACATTCCTTTCTTATCAACATTGTTTGATGCTCTGACATAATACTGAAGTTATCACAAGCAGTCCGCCTTGAACACCTGCTGTTCTCTTATAATATGTATATGTATCATCTATATAAAGTTGGATATTGAAGAAAATAATAATTTACTAGTAAATTAAATTATAACTTGAACATGGTTGTATCTTGCATTATGTTATTACTATTATGTTATTACTATTACTATTATGTTATGAGCTTCTTTATGACAATAAATATTGTTATCATCCAATTGTGATAATCATATTTATTCATAGAATTTATTTATAGAATCAATTTTAGAAGATATTATATTATCATGTATAGTTTATTACTTAGTACAATTTTAGCTTATTTTATGTTGAATGCTTTACGTATATATATATATATATATATGTATATATATATATTTATTATGTATGATTTATCAGAGAATGTAGGCAAAGAGACTATCTTGAAAGTAACAGACTGGTTACGTGGAATCTGGGAAATGAGGCGACGTACTGGGCCAGTTCAACAATGGATTGACTCAATACCATTGCCTACAAAGTCAGATGTTATTGTTGCAAGCGAGTGTGAAGAATATATGCAAAGTAAACCACTAACACCAACAGAGCCTAAAGATATTCTATTGACAAAGGAATCGAGGCCTCCAAGTATGACTGTATCGGCACCTATTAATGTTCCTAATTCACCAGCAATGAATACACCTATACTACCAAGGTATTACAAAAAAATTACAATAACATATTCTTTTCTCTTCCACAATACAGTTAAATCAAATATAATCATTTTAACTACTTGTTTCAATTGCAGTTCTTTACCACATAGACTGGCTCGAGATGCAAGTTTTCAATCAGATAGCAGTCACTGCAGCAGCGTCGAGAGCCTATTAGAATTACGAAAGGCAGATCCAACAGCGATTTTGCTCGATCTCGGTTTCGGCGGTTGCTCAACCAGTCCGCAAGAAAATGGTCCATTTTCTCGCATTCCTAAGAGGTTCCTACAGCCATCGTCTTTAAAAGGCATCGCCATCGATGATTTTGTTAAGCAGCAACAACAGACCAGCGAGTCTTTTGACTCAGTATCCTTAGGATATAGGGGCCTAACGGGTAAGATCATGTTTTCAGTGACAATTTACAATATTACTTTCGGTATCTGCATGCGAGAGATAAATTATAGATAAGAATCTTTTATGGATACATAATTCTACAAAATGTATGTTGGATTATGTTATCAAAATCAATTAGCAGCAATAATTTCATGGGGTTAATTTAACTGTCAAGTGTCAAGTTAATTATCGTTAAATCGATGCCCCATGTGTTTGCAGTATTAATTGATAATAAATTAAACTAATGAACAGTGTGGAAATCATGAAATTATGGTTAAATATATATGGGTACAAAATAACTTCGTAGAGACACTCCATTATATATAGCATTACGCAAATGATAATTTTGTAGGAAGCAATAACGCGTTAAGCGTGCCTACGCGTGTCCGACAGCGCAGAAACTCCGGACCAAGTAATTTTGTAAGTCACGCGCGAGAATTTGTAAACGGGACTGTTATTTGATATATCTTTACAAGCTCTTTAATTGAATCCACTAAATACGTCCCGCCGCATTATGTTCATGCCTAGCTGAAATAAATTAAGGAAACACAATTTTTTTTATTTGTACTATTATGGTTTTCTTTTTTTTTTAATAAGCATTTTATAACTCCTTGGTCTTGCTCACGTTGCTTTGGGGTTTATGCATAGAATCAGTTAAGATGCAATATTTCGCTGTTTTTATGTAGAGACCACTTTGTATTCATTGTGTGTGCGATGACATTGTGCTTTTAGAATTTGATAAAAAAACTGATAATAATTGTGTACGTATAAAAAGCAGACTTTATCGGACTATGAACATGAGTCTATTTAACGTAAAATAAATTTGCATGCATAATAGTGAGCATAGAATGCAAAGGTAATACAGTACAATACTAACGTGTAGGAAAAGCACGAGTTTTTGAAACGCGCATTATAAATAATAGAATCCGATGGTTATGTCATAATATCGTCACTTGTTACAAAGCGTCCTTTCTTTCTCGTTTAATTCTGTGCATTAATATGTGTTTAAAAATATTCAGTTGCGAAATAACCGTTGAGCTGGAAAGACAATTACATATGCAAATCATATATACATGTCTCCCGTATCATTCTCAAGCTACGTATATCTTTTAGTTATCTTTCTCACCTTGAGTTTATATATTCAATGAATGTTTTATTTTGTTTCGTGGTAATCAATTATTGTCGTTGACCGTAACGGATACATGTACGGTAAAATATATCTTTTCTTCTTTTGCATTTCTGAAAGGATCGCCGTATGTAGCCCCGTCGGAAATTGTACAAAAAATCATGGAACGTTTGCGAGAACATGACAGTCATGAGGTGGATACCAGTGCGTACAATCACTGCGAGCAGTACAGCCCGTCACATCAGAACGGGAGATTATCCGTTCTGTCTCCCGACAACAGGCAGTTCTTGGAACAGCCACGTTCCAAAAGTCCTGACATGCGTAATAAGCGTATGATTATAGGTAAATGAAGATATAATTAAAAGTTTAGTAAGTTTATAATTATAGAATCTAATAATTGATTAATCTAATAATCCAATAGAAATTCTTTAATGATATTCAATTTGTATAAAGAATACGCAAAAATCACAACAATGTCTTCTCTCGCAGGCCAAAAGTCGTTCGCCTTTGGATGCGATGGTAATTTGATCGAAATATCTGCCAATGATGTGAAACATACGTCCATTGACACGGTAGCTAATTGTAATGCTACGTCGAATGTTGATGAGTCTATAGAATCAAAACAATCATTTTCGGCAGAAAGGGTAACGTTTGAGCATTCGTATTTTTCGGATAATGATGACAATTTGGCGAAACAGTCATCGTTTGACGATACTGTTGTATTTCCTGTACCTGATCTATTTAAAAGAGATCAGGCATCTTCGTCAAGCAATTTGGACGTTGCTCAAAGTGGCGCAAAAATAGACTGCAACGAGTGGGAGTACAATATAGCAGAGACACCTTCTAGATATGGAAACTATGAGTTTCCGCGACACTGTCCTGACATTCGAAGGTCCAGCGAGGGTGCATGCGACACCAAAGTTTTGGAGGACAAAATGTTTGACGAAGGACGTAGATTTAGCGATGGCGCGGTGCACGTTGCGGATAGCCGACGCAATGAATGCACGTTACTGCAAAAGAGAAAGAGTCTCAAGAGACAATCTAGAGTGTACGATACAATGGCGATGCAATATTGCGACCTAAGTCCTATTAAGTCTAGCGTAGCGGATGCAATACTCGAATCTAACGTAGACAGTGAGGAAGTATCGCATGACATAACTGATATTAGCATACACCAATTAAATGCACCAAAGTCGTTCCAGTTGACTGAAAATAAAGACGACACAGAATTAGAGACGGAAGCGGAATCTTGCTTGGGTAGTCCTAGTTACGCGTCTTCGCCAGGGGAGAGTTGTGAATCCATCGATCAGATAAGACATCTTAAAATTATGGAAGAAGATTCGGAATCGAGCGATCATTCTTGTGTAAAGGACGCTCAGGTTTGCTATTACAAAGATAAGGTATGTAACAGTTGCAAGCACGGTAGGAATTGTTTGGATTGCTGCTGCCATGTGGAAAAGAGGAAATATTTGAAAAAAATGGAGAAGATTATGCAAGAAAATAAGAAATTGGAGAACATGCTGGCAAGAAATAGAAGGGAAGTGGCGGAAATTCGTGATATATTGAGCAATGTTTGGTCGGTTAGAATGGAACCGGGATTTTAGATGATTTAGTAAGAAGTTAAATATGCTCATTTTGGTAATTAATAACGGTTAACTAAAATCGTGATATAGGTGAATATACATATGTTAGGAGGAGATAATGAATACCTTTATAGAAATTTAAAACTTTCTATTTGATATTTTGAACTCAATATTCTTCTATTTCAGAAGTCGAATATTTTCGAAGCTCATATTTTTTGTAAAATACACTACCTATTATAACAAAAAAAATATTTCTACAAATTGTACGAGAATAATCAATCTCTTTTAGAGTCTATATTTTTTAGTTAAAATATAAAGAGTAGACGTAATATAAATATATATATTTAATTATATCTCTGTGCGTGTTGAATATTACGCTAGGGAAAGGTTAGTACAGATCTTTTTATATATTTACATCTTTACTTACAACTCGTGTACTTTTTTTACGTACTCTTGACTTACTTTCGACGCGGGTTACAAATAAAGATGAAAAATAATCTTGTTATTGTATTCAGATTTTATTCTCAGTAATGTTAAACAACAGCACACAGAACCAAAAAATCAAGTGCAACATATTTATCATAATATTTTGTTTAATGTGTATATTAAGGTAAATTAATATAGATTATGACAATCTCAAGGTGAATGTCAAAAGTGATGAACAGTATCAACAGTATATCGAAGATCTTGTCTAAAAGAAATACATTCCCATTACCATATCTACTCTGTTAAGTTTGCAATGTCGAATTAACATTTGTTGTCTTTAATTACAAGTTTGTTAATTATATTTCTTTGTTTATCTTATAGTTGGAAGATAACAGTGTGTCATAGATACGTGCACGCACACACACACCACACATATACACACATACACACACACAAATTTTATTCATATTTGATACTTCTTTTTCGATATCATGTTATACAATTTGGATAGCTTATTTTAGTCAGATGATACATATGCACAAAATAATTTTATTATCTTATTATGAGCATGATAATGGGCATAATAGTAATAATAACGGAAGTTATTATTGATATTTCATATTTTTTTTCTTTTTCGAATGTGTCAAATAACTCTGGTCGTAATGAACGTTGACCAACCTGTATTTTATACAAGATTCCAGGAGATCTAGTCTTCTACAGATACCATCGACACAGTGATATTTCTATTAATTATTAATTCTTTATAATCAGGAATAATGTGATACCATATATACTTTTTGAACAACTCATTCGTTTGGATATTAATTATTTTTAGAGTTAAGTAATAATTTATCATATTTTTAAACTAACATGATAAAATCAGGAACTAGTAGTACTGAAAGAATTTTGTATATTAACACGTTGAGTAGCATGTAATCCATATTCGGATAACACATGAACTTGCAGGAACCTTATTTATAGATGATTTTACTTATCTTAATAATGATTTGATGAAGTATAAATATTTTCTTAGTAGTAGCACTAATCAAGTATAACTCGTGCGATTGACAATCTATTAAGTAATTTAACTTTATATACAATCACACGCAGCAGCTAGAGAATTTGGATCTAGTAAGACTCTGACATTAATTTAATATGGTTACTACCCAACGTGTTACAGCCATAAGAAAGCACAAAAATCAAACTGGAAGTCAAAATCGATTGTTGAAGAGAAAAAAATGCAGGAAGAAAAGAAAATATAGTTTTTGTCTGAAATAAAGTTTTTATTCCCAATAATCGAAATATCTAATTCTTCATTTCCGTTTTTGATAATTTGCAAAGTTTATATAATTTCATCTAAATCTAAACTTCAATTAATAACAGTTATTGTTCATATTTTTTATTAAAAAATAAACTGATAATCAATTTTAAAATATATAAGACAAAGGTTATTCTTAAGAAAGGTGAAAGTATTCTAAATACTTGATGTGTTTACACATCTCAAAACGGAATCTAAAAACATGTTTGTGTCGCAAAAATCGGTCAAAATACAAATTATTCCAGAATATACACACGTAGTGGTAAAACGCTATTTGTCTATAAAATTATTTTTCGGGTGGGAGCAGAAAAAGATATTACATACATTAAATTAATATGTATATTGTTATGAAATGTATATGTCTGTCCATTTCTTTTTACTTACTGCTTAAAATGCTAACAACATCGATTGGAAGTTTATCTGATATTACTAAGTGCGGTTTTATTCACTTTTCTTAAGGCTCCTGTTCCTTTGCCGCGGTCATCTTTATTGACGATATCAAAAGCAAGAAAATATACAAAAAGTAAATTTTTATGAAGTGCATTGAAATAAAATGGTGAATTTATTATTCAAGAAACGCAATCAGATTTACAAAATGGTCTTAAAAATTTTTTTTAGTAATAATAAATTAATGTCATATATATTAGTAACAATAAATTAATAAATTATAAAATTAACATCAGATTTTTAATTATTGATTTTAACTTTCCATCTTATCACATTTTTAATTATTGATTTTAACTTACAATTTTACTACATTTTTAATTATCGAATTTAACTTACTATTTTATCACAATTTTAATTATTGAATTCAACTTACCAACTAAATACTAACTAATTTTAACAAAAATTGATCTTAACTCTATTAATCTCAACAATTTTTGGTATGCATTTTCTTGCTTTTGATATCATTGATCCTCGCTCAAGTGCCAAGATCAAATTAGACCTAGATACAACATAATGTATGCAGTTATTGTAGCTGCCATTATTGTGAAAGTTACATTAAAGATAACTCCGGTGAGAAAACAGGAGTCCTAAGTGATCATATCGCCACTTAATAAAGGAAACTGCATTTCATTTAATCACGGCATATAGTAGCCTGAAATCACAATTGATTAGCAAATATATAAGACTTATTCAATCAATATGACTCAATATAAATTGAAAACTTTGGAACATTATATATCGTCATTTTTTTACATAATAAATCAATGAAACCTACTACCTATAATATTTTCCTGATTTCTCGCACAATATTAAGTGATCAAGTCTAAATAAGATATGTATTATCTACGTAATATATATAGAAAGTAGTTATACAAACAGCATAAGAGCATCGTAGAAAGTAAGGTATAATGTACAATTGTGAGAACTCAATAAATATTTGCCACAATTTTCTTTTTTATATGTGTTAATCGCATTTTTCGTATCCGTGAGATTTATTTTTTAGAAATATCACTTATAACGCTTTGTATAAAAAAGAACTCTAAAGAATACCGAAAAATATTCACGAAATATTCCTTCTCTTCCTTATTTGGAATTATAAATACAATCATAAAAATATATCGCGATTTACAGAGATCGATATTTGCGATAACGTAACGTCATATAAATATAACAAGATTAAATTATATCAATTGATACAAAATCTCTCAAATCTCAACGACACAAAATTTCAAAATTTAAAATTCTCTACTATATAACCGTTTCAAACCATAAAGATATAAATGCAGGTCAATTACCGAAGGTTCCCTAGTTTTTCTGTTACATCTTAAGATTAAGTGTACACACAAAATCTGGCCCAGCACCGCCCGCAGCAGTGATATGAACCATAGTATATATAATTTGCAGAATTCTATATTCTTTTTATGCCGCATGAGCGCATAAAAACAAATATTCTTTTTTCTATTCTAGATCTCATTGAGAAATCATATTCCGCCTTCACTCCAACTTGTCTTGAGAACAAGTTTTTAAATTTTATTATTTTATAACCTCTTGCTCATGTGTCAAGTACTTTTTATAGTTTCTACTACGGTATAGGCTTTGAAGCGACGGTTCTTATCTCTGGCTAAGGGCGTGCTTGAATTGGCCACATAGGTCACAAGGCCAATGTTGCATCTCTAAACTAGAATTTAAATTATAAAGATTAGACTAACGGTGGCGTGTCGTAAAAAGAAAAAGAAAATGAACATCAACATGCATCCATTATACTAGGTAACATTAATTTTTTTCCGTCAATAACGTAAAATATTAGATAAATTATCGATTATCATGATTACCCAAAATCGATAATACGACGCAGGCTTGCGAGTAGCTCTATTGGTAATTGAAGCTCACACGTACATGTCAGAGATATCAATTATAGCTAAAGCTACCCCCAGTAATAAACTCAGAGCCATGGTCCTCCGCCCAATCTTATTGGTTTAAGTATGAACCTGCTACAATACCATGTCATTAACTGGATCTGTGTGTACATGTAGATCGTGAATATGTTCTGTGAATCGAGTCCCCTGTGTACATGTAGATGTGTTCCTTTCCTCTTAGCATATCTTAAAACGTATATAAACAAATTAAGAGCAAAACTTGATCTAGTTTTTAGTCTTCTTTTTCGTCCCTGTAACAGAGAGAAAGAAATATTTATTAATTACGCATGTTAAACGTTAACATTACTTTAACACATACTTATTTTAACATAACATTACAATGATACATATACGTACTTTACTTCTTGTTGAAAAAGATGAAGTTCAACAATTGTCTCTGATCTACTTTGCACTTTAAAGGTCACATGAGCTACTAAATAATTGTCTTTGTTATTAACTGACCATCCAGAATACTGAAATAAAATAAGTTTTGTGAATTTCTGTTTATACAAGAGCAGTTTACGTCTTGCTGTTTCGAAATGTGTTGTAATTTTTTTAACTTATGATACGTAAGTCGTGCAGTCGAGTCGATAAATAGTAGAGAATTAATTTAAAATCTTAAAAAATGAATATGCGCTTACTGTCGATGTGCTTTTGTACAATGTCTTGCCATCATCTTTAAATGGTAAGAACTTTTGTAAAAGAGCTTTTCCATCTATCCTCCATAAGGTGGGTGGATCATTGATACCATCAACATCACTTTTCGCAATTACAAATGCACCAGACTATGAAGAATATCAATGTTATAAATATCTTGACGAAAATACTATGATTAATTCAACATGTATTAAGGTAACTTACAGTATAATCCTTTGGAGCTTCTCCCGATGATTCATTGAAACTGTTATCGGAATCCTCATCATCTTCATCATCCTTTTCATCATCTTCTTTCTTAGAACGTCTTTTCCTTTTTGGCTTTTTTCCTGTATCAGAATCGGAATCCTCTTCGTCTATATCATCATCCGATTCACCATCTTCTTCTTCTTCTTCTTCTTCCTCTTCAGAATGATGTCGCTTCTTTGCTGTTTCTCTCTGTGGCCTTATTTTAGTACCACCCTTTAAGAAATCATGAGTGACACAGTAATAAGATGCATAGTAAGGTAAGATACTATGTGTTCAGTTATTATATATATATATATATATATAGATTTTTAATAATATATCATAAACAACATGTATTTCATTATAAAACTCAACATAAATATATCAACAAACTGTTGGATACACAATATATTGACTATAACGCATTATATATCAAGCTTGTGTATTTTGTGAATTTTATTTTCATTCAAAGAATATTTCAAACGATATTTTCCTGATGTTACTTTACGAGGTACACTGAAACTCTAAGCACAAGTTACTTGACGATTCCAATTAAAACTCCGTATTACATACCCATTTTATTCCACAAGAGAGGTTGAAGGCACAGCGACTTAGTCGCTAAAACTAAAAAAAAAAAAGAATCTATCGATTATCGAACTGATTATTGTTATGAACGGTAAACTTTCCAAAGTTATAGTCGATGATTTGTTGACAATGCAAACAGAATTGAAAATAAACGAAACGTGTTGAACGACTTGATCACATCTTCGAAAATTCCGTCCGAGCTGATGCTGAAGATGTAAAACGGAGCAGATGCGGCTGGAGAAGCCGCCGGCGTACAGCGCGCGACCCGCTTCGCTCAGGTGATTTAAAAATTCGGCGATCGGCGCCACCAGAGGCGGCCGAGCGACCGGCCGGCAACGATGGCCGCGATGCGGCAAGCGAAGGCCGGAAGGACACGAGAGCAGTGCGGCCGTACTTCGGAAGATATGCTCTAACAGCGAGGCTCGACGATCACGCGGGAAGCCGCCGATCGTGAGCTCGAAGTCGCGCCCGGCACGGAAAGACAACCGCTCCTCCGAGGGTAATCTTATCTCGCGCGCGCTTCTGGGAGACGCTGGCGGCAGCGGAGAAGCCGCTAAAACTACCGACGCTTCTCGCTCATGATATAACTGTCGGGACGCAGGGCGCTGGCAGGTGTGTTTATTCGACGTGATGTAAGAGCCTAGCGTCCTCCTGTTTGGAGGAGCTGCAACGGAGACACACCATCGTGTCGAGTTCTCCTCGGCAGCGCAGAGTCCAAGTTGCGGACGGAGAGTTGTATCCGGAGAGTGTCCAGGCGCGTTTCGACCTCGATCGCACTTTTAACAAGCATGTTGTCGTACGAATGCCGTTGCGAAAAAGATCACGACTGCGTCAGAGGAATGGAGACAGCGAAGTCGGCGGAGCATGCGAGAGAGCCGGTCGTCGATGAGACGCGCAACGACGCGACGAGACAGATAATGACGATGAGGACGAAGTCTCGCGCGTTGAAACGTAGCGTATGACGTGAGAAGCTTACCTCGGTTCCGGCCTCGGGTGTCCACTCCTCTTCAGAAGCGCCTTCGACTTCCTCCGGGTCGTCTGCCGAATATTCGTCCTCGTCCGACACATCCTTGGTCTTCTTCATGTTGCCTTTGCGCGGAATGTTGTCGCCTTCGTAGTGCACTACCTCTATCCACAGGGACACGCCGGACACGAGACCGCACTTGCGAAACTTACGATGAAGGACGTGCGCGAACACCGCAAATAATATGGCGCACGGCCGCGCGCGGACGACTTGCGCGACTTTGGCGACAGTCTCGAGATGGCCCCACCGCCCCGGTTAAGAGAAGCGAGTCGCGCGAAAAGACGATCCGCGCGCGAAAACGAAACTTCGTGCGATTCGCGATTGTGCTCGAGAAATGTACGATGTATCGCGTTGCGTAATATATGCCTATCGATCGCGTGGAATCGGCGAATGAGCTCGATGTAATCTGGACGAGTTGCAATTGATAGAAAAAAAAAGACAGAATAGGGGAAAAAGGATGTCACTTTGGTATAATTGAATGGGAATTAAACAAAAGCTCGGTGATACGAGGAGAAGTCTTTATGTTACGTCGTGACCGGAAATATTCATTAAATCCGGAAATTGTGGCTGCTCAAGATTCCTTAAGTTGAGACGACTAAAGTTACTTTTGGTTTTTGGATAGAAATCAGCTGCGAGAATTATTCTGTTTCGGCAACCGAATTGTCGTCGTCTGGTCTCCTCGGGACCAGACGAAAATTGGAAAATTTAATCTTTCTTATTGATAGAAAATTCAAAAAAATTAATCTTCTTTATTAATCGTAATTTTATTTAAAGTTTACCCACTTTGTCACAGTGTGGTATAAAATGGTCATATTATACAATGTATCCTGAAGAGTTAAATGTTAATTTCGAATACGACTTTTGCTCCGACGGTTTGTTGCGTCTTTTGTACGACCGTTTCTTTTTTCGCGCATGCGTCACTTTAAAAATATTTTCAATTCTAAGATATCAAATGATTCTCCTTGCGTCTAAGGTATTATGAGCGAAGCATGTCTTAGGATGTTGCAATACATTTTAGAATGTATATGACACATAACATCTATAATAAACGTAGACGGTTCTTAGCGCGAATTGAGATTCCTAGATGGCAGCAGGTCTTGCATTAAGAGGAATATATGAAAGTGTCTGCGTCCATCAGTGCGCAGCAGGAAGCGCTGCCTGTCTTGTGAGTTCCGGTTCGATGCGGACTATCGATATTCGAGTAGCGTTATATCGGCTGCACGAATATTTTTTATCGAATGATATTAATTAAATAAGAGAAAGAGAAAACGTTACGAGAATATTTGACGGGTGTTTGCTGATGCTTTGTGAACACCCGAATATATCGTGAAACTTGAATTGAAACTTCTGGGTGTAAGTTGATATTGCCATCGTATGGAATGCTTTAATACATAAACAAGACAGATTGTCAAATGTCAAATTGTCGGATGTCAAGACGAACGAACAAGAGATATACTTCGTTCGGGAACGTGAATAGAATTGACTTACTTACTCTCAGCGTTACGTTTTAGTGAGCATGATTATTTTTATGTAACACGATAAATCCCACTCCCAGAGAGCGAGATTTTGCTCCCTTCAAGAAATCTGCAATCTCTTCAGGACGTATATAAGAAAGAGAAAGAACAACGGCAAAATAATATAAAACGTTTTAAAACACCAGACGTCTTTAACGAAGCATAGATTGTTACCCGAGGCCAACACCGTGAAACTGGCTGAAGCCAGCTTCTGGCTGACGCAGCATATATGTTTTTTTTTCCAAATCCGATAAATAATTTATTTCATGCAACAGGCTTGTTTGTGCGGTAAAGTCGAGCTGCACAGAATGAGACAATTGTAATCGTCGGAATAATTACTTCAACGAGCTGTTTACGCCGCTCTTGCGCACGATTAAGACTCGACGCGACTTCGTGGGGGTTGCACACGAGAGTTAACGACAACAATCGACTGACCATCGCGCAATTGGGCTTGAGGGGAAGAACCAAGAGTTCTTTCGTCGCACCCGCGTCTAGGATCGCTAATAATTTTTTGGATTTGAACCGCTCTCCGGAGCGGGTCGATATAGTTGACGCGTGCGCCGACCGGTTCGCTGCGCCGGAGACGACGTTCGTTCAGTATTTACGGTACTGGCAAAAACCGCGGTGCAAGGGTAAGGAGCGGACAGTGGGATTAGGGTGAGAAAGATGTTCGAGCTGTATGGTGTCGGCAAAGGCGGCATGGTGTATCATCCGCCGCCTCCCAGAGGGAAAGAAGTCGACATCTTGGAGGTAGGTTGCGTGAACGGACGTTATTAAAACTCCCTCGTTAATTATGGCTCGATCCCGAAAGCTTCCTCTTAATTGTCCCATCGTGGCTACCCAAGGTTCCCTCCCGGAGAAAGGGAGAGGGCTATCATTTGCGGTGCACCTCTCTCGCAACTGATGACCGAGTCAACCGAGTGAACGTACATGTACGCGCGTGCTGTACCGTTGTCCTCGGTGTAATTCTTTGCGCAAAGCGACCAGAGACGACTTACGATTGTGCGAAGCGACGAAACGCTGTGCCCACTGTATGCTGTAACACTCGAGAATCACTGCTTATATTTCGTTGGTTTATAAATACTGGCTGACATTAACGTTACGTCAGTGTTACAATTTTTTCGCTGGACAATGCCACTGTGTTGTACGCAACAGTGTCATTTTACACACTTACATCACCTTCTCTCCGCGAATGAGAAATTATAATATTGATGTAATGTTACTGTGTGTTGATTGGTGTTTACTGAGCACTGAGAGTAAAAATCATTTGTCGACAGCTTCCGGACGTTTTCGAACTTCGTGTGAATTCAGGAACGACTGCATCGAGCGGTCTTTTCTTTGACTGTTTCTTTTCTCTTTTTTACTTTTTTTCAAGGTAAACGCGTTTTCCCTCGGTGCTTGTATTTTTTTTTTTTCATCAATTATGAGCTATTAATAACGGCATAATAAGATAGTCATGCAACGCGGAGATAAGTAGTTATGCAATCTTTGCGATGTTTTGATTCGTGGAAGTGATGTTGCCTACTCGTAAGCTCGGTAATTCAACGAAATTTTGCAGACCTGTCTGCAACTCTCCTCGACGGAACTGAGAAAATTGCCTAACGGTGATGCACTTCACATCAAGGACACCGGTGTTTCGACTTCCTTCGACAAAAGCAAAGAATCGCCGAGAGAGAGCAGTAAGTGTACAATCTCATTATTGTAGACGATAAGATTGGGATATTTCAAGCTATTTATTATTCAGTGAAATTTCACGCTCTACTAACACTATCGATCTACTAATCTCAGGGTGGAACTCAAACGCTTTGATTCTGCTTCGAACACATTTTATACTGAAAAATATTACACGAAATTAGCGTGACAGGTTTTTACTTTAGATAAAATAATTCAATAATGTGAAGGAATCAGATATCTCTCATTTATAAACGATTATTACATAATTAATAAATTTATAAGTATAAATTAATAAGTAACGAATAAAGATGCATAAATTACCAGGTTGGTGCGGATAAAATATTCGTCAAAAGAACAAACGGAATCATTCAATTCCGAAGGATTGATAATTTTTACGAATGAAATGGACAACATCGATTTGATATTCTTTTAAATATCTAACAAGGGCCATTTATTTTCTCCTTCACAATCAAATTTTCGAAACAAAAACAAATTTAATAAGAAAATAAAAAAAACTTCTTACGGTAACTCGATATTTCTGCTCTTAGATGTGCATACATACTTAAACATACATATTCACGTGTCTGACCATTGATAATGATTATAATCATTGCAATTAGCATAATGACGAGTGCGAGATGTTGGCTCAGACTATAATACAGATTTAATTTCTTTGTGCCGCGCTTGATCGCCCCGCGCTTTCTCGATTACCTTATCAAATCCGTCGCCGTCTCTCTCTCGCTCGCTCTTCCCCGGCCCGAATCGCCGCGCCGTTCCCGATGGCCGAACGACAGTTTCGACTTTTCTTTCTTTTCTCTCCAATTTCGCACGTCAACGAGCTCGCGCTTACGTAAAGCCTCGAGAGCGAGGCGAGCGAAGAAAAGCAACCGGCGATGAGAAACGACGAGCGTGGCGAGACGACGCGGACGCGGCGACGCGACAACGACGTTTCGCGATCTGCTGTGATTTCTATTCACGGCTCGGCGATCTAGCCGATTGCATTGCACACTCGATCCGGCCGCAATCGACGGATCGAAGTTTCGGTTACGGCGATTTCACGTGCGGATAGATACGATCCACGCTCGGCTGGTCTTCCCGGTCTGCGAGGATTCCGCGCTGCGGTTGTCCCGCCAATGCTCACCGTTACGAGTCGCTCTTATCATATTGTTTATCGATCACGCGTATCATTGATAAATATCGGGAGAATTAGCAAATTGATTGTGTAAGAGCGTAGCTCGTATAAGAGCATAACAGATCTTCTCTGCATGACACATACTGAGGAAAAAGTGTTGAGTATTTGCTATTATGATCATATTGCGATGGAATTCTAGTCAGAAGAACTCTTTTTCAAACAGTCAAATGTAAATGTTCCTATAGTGTCAGTCATAATAATTTTATATGTATATTGCTGTTGCCATATTTTTTTTTTTTAATTAAATTTAAATTAAAATCACTGGAAGTAAAATAAAATTTATTCATTAAAATTAATTTATGAAAATCACTAGAAGTAAAACAAAATCTATTTATTAAAATTAATTTATTAAAATCACTCGGAGTAAAATCACTAAAAAGTTGACGCCGAAAATGACTATAATTTTGGTGAAACTAACCTACGTTTCTTCCTCTCGACGCGGAGAAGAAAAGCATTTAAAAAACGAGAGTATTTTTCAGGGTGTGTTTTCCTACACGTTCCTCTAAACATTTACTTTTTCTCAGCTACTCGTCATTAACGTCGAAGAAGATTCTCGAGATTTGACACGGTCTCACTGCATCTTATTCTAACAGATCAGTTGTTAATGACGGGCATTGTTGCAGGACGAAGCGTGGTGAGGAGATGGGTGGTAATGGCTGGATTCTTCTTCCTCGGATGTGCCTTGGTGGCCGGGGTTGGTCTGCCGCTTGCCCTGGAGCTTCGAAGCTCTCACCTGCTGGAAGCTAGGCTGCAAGTGGTCCGCAGAATGCTGTCGGAGGTTCCTCTGATCGACGGGTAACGGTGATAGCTCGAAGCGATAATTATAGAAATGAACGGGGGATGAAGTCTCGTAGCCGCCCTCGAACGTCGATCGTGTCTCAAAGCCCGTACGAATCAAATCGAACAGACACAACGACTTCGCCTGGAATCTTCGCAAGCACCGCGGTAACACGAAGCTGGGTAACTTCCCCTTCGATGAAGACCTGTCGCGCAACTCCAGCTGGGGTCCGCAATGGCAGACCGACCTGATCCGCCTGCAGCAGGGTATCGTCGGCGCGCAGTTTTGGTCGGCCTACGTGCCGTGCGAGGCGCAGTTCCTCGACGCCGTCCAGCTCACCCTGGAGCAGATCGACATCGTGCGTAGACTGACCACGCGCTACCCCAAGCGGATCCGACTGGTGACGGCAAGCGGCGAGCTGGAGAACGCTCATCGGGACGGAGTGATCGCCAGCTTAGTGGGCATCGAGGGTGGCCACAGCATCGGCACTTCCATGGCGGTGCTGAGGAGCTTCCACCGGTTAGGCGCGCGTTACATGACCCTGACCCACAAGTGTAATACTCCGTGGTGAGTTTCACGACTGACCACCTGGACGGGACGGGATACACAAGCGTGAGAGCTCGTCGCGGCCGCGATAGCTGGAAAAGAGTGAATGAGGAGGAGCTTGCACATTAGTATCCTCCATTAGATGATATCTCAGATATTTGTTGTTTTTTCCATCACGAGGTCTTCTTCGATCAGTCAACTGATTCAATAAATCGAGAAAAAATCAAAGGTTTCTTACCAGCTAGCTTTGTCTAAAACTAGCTGAGATCTAAGCAAAAATAAGCAATACAGCGAAGTTGAGAAGAGGTATGATGTACGGTTTAACAACCGTTAGATCAAATCGAATACGCTCGACATAACAACCATACATCTTTCACAGAGATTGGATTAATAATTGTAAAAAAGAAATTTACTTATTAAAATATTACTTATTAAAAATGCTTTTTTCCCTGTAAGGTGTAAGGCTTTTGGTACGGGTAAAACGGGTTGGTTAATTATCCTTATAGGATTAAGAGATCCGGTTTCGATTTTCAGGGCGGACTCGTGCTCCGTCGACGATCCGAACTCGGACGAGCCGTCTGATTTCCGCAGCAACGGCCTCTCGGAATTTGGCAAGGCGGTTGTTCGCGAGTTAAATCGCCTGGGCATGCTGGTGGATCTCTCTCACGTTTCGATCAGGACGATGCGAGACGCTCTCGCGGTGACGAAGGCTCCGGTCATATTTTCGCACAGCGCGGCCAAGGCGCTCTGTAATTCTTCGAGCAACGTCCCAGACGACGTACTGCGGAATTTGGTGAGATAGAGGAATGCCAGGAATGAGCGTGCACGCGGGTGGTGCGTCCGCCGTGCTAAACATATCTATTTAAGACACTGTCTCTCGGGGGTTACTGTGATAAACACTGTGGTGGATAAACGAAGATTCAGATTTAGATCGGTCTTTTTAACTTCAAACGCATCACGCTGATAGCGATCGACGATTCTCCGAAGAATCAATTTTTCTTGCCAGCTATTTGGAATCCATTTGGAATCCATTCGGGTCTTCCCTTTTTTGCGAAAATGAAAATATTTACGACAAGACGATACCGTGGAAAGAAACAGGAATCTTACTTTTAATTTTCCACTCGTGTATATATGTGTTTCTCGATTTCAATCTCAATTTTTAATCACGCTAAAAACTTAATTCTCTTTCTTTTTAATTTGATTTCGACTTGCGCATCGTGTAAAAGTCGACTTCTATCGTATCTTCATTGTTTCTACGATCTAAGAAACATCTGATGTAACGTTGAATGTAACACGAAACGGCTGATTTCCAGCCGGATGCGAATACTCGTCCGATACGAGATACAACGTTAACCCCGCGTATCGTCGCGGTGACATAATATTTGCTCGTGAATTAATCATGCGGCTTTCGTCTCTGTTTGCTTCAGTCCCTCAATGGAGGTCTGGTTATGGTTAGTTTCGACAGCGCCCATTTGAGCTGCGGCGATAAGGCCTCCATGTACGACATTATAGGTGCGTAAGTGGCGGCGTCGAATTAGCAAACATCAAAAATGAAAAAAAGAGAAACTTACGCGTAGAGATAAGAGACAATTGAGACACACACGCACACACGTACGTGCTCGCGTTTTTACAGCTCACATCAATCATATCAGACGAACAGCTGGTGTGAATCACGTGGGTCTCGGCGCGGGTTACGATGGGATACTGAGGTAGTTAAAGAACCACTCCAACCTTATATTACTGCGTGCCTTTTATTATTCGTCAATAACACAGAACGGTTTTCCTCTCGAAACATTCTTTTTATGTAGAGATGCAGTTGAATAACCGAGTAATAACGTTTCGGCGTTCGGAAAGTTTTACACGCGCGCGAAGTGTCGCTCGTTTACAAGGACCCATCATTTTATTCAATTACATTATAAACATATCAGAAAAAAAAAAGGAAAAAGAAAAAAAGAAAAGGAAAAGAACAGTGATGCGAGTCCATTGAGCACGGAGACGTGGTGAGTGAGAGAGCAGAGGCAAAGAGTTACACTTGTCCAGGCCGCCGACGGAATTGCCAGACGTTTCCGGCTACCCCCTGCTGCTGGCTGAGCTAACCAGAGATCGGAGATGGTCCGCGACGGACATAAAGAAGCTGGTGGGCGGGAATTTGTTGCGCGTCCTCAAGGAAGTGGAGAATCACGCTGCGAGTCTTTCAAACCAGTTTCCGGCGGAGGAGTGGATTCCCGAGACACTCGTCGAGGACAGCACCTACTGCCGATATCACGAAGCGTAGGGTCTCACCACGCACTCGCACCCGCTCGTACGGGCTTGTTTCCGGTATCGAGGCTGTCACTTTGGTTCCCGTGAGGTGTCCGGCGCTCGCCGAGGCCGCACACTTTGAACTGTATGATCTTTGTACCTGGGTCGCCTCAACCGTTTTGCATTTTTAATAAAGGTAGCAGCGAACTGACGAGACGCACTGTTGCAAGTCCGTTTGTCTTTCGTCGATCCTTCGCGGCTGATCCTTTAGGCTGATTTTCGTGGCGAGTGATCGTTTCTTGTGGGAGGGTTATCGCGATATCGCGGCCCGATTATGACATGCTTTGCGCCCCACAGGGCCTGAAATATTTTCTTATCAATCTTAAGTGATCTTATATCCCACTGATTGTGCCGCATTTAAATTCCTCGCCTCCTATCGAATGTTCTCTCATACACGTAGCGTTGCATAAAATTAATTCTTATTGATTGAATGTACCCGAAAATCCTTATACGGCGCTTCATTCGACTCTATTAGGTGTGTGCAAGAAATTCAGTTTTTCTTCGCAAATTTTCACTTTATTTTCATAATATATCGAATGCAATTCAATCGTCACAATTTTATTTGTCTTTGACTTGTATGATTTTTCTATTGGGTAAATTTCGGATTCTTTTGCGAAAGAAAGATATCGAAAATTTCCATACGCGTCTGATAATTGATTTTTTGAAGTTTCAAGTGAAAAGGTAGAAATTTTTACTCATTTGTTACCGGCAGCATCGGATCTGTTTGTAAGTTCGGAGTTTTACGGGGTCTTGGAATTTCGTAAATGCATACAGTTGACATGTTGAGGACGCATTTGTGTATTTTGCTGCCTGCAAAGTTTCTTCCACACGCACATATCTATCTATATGTGTGTACGTGTGTTATCATCGATTTCGCTCATTGCTGCAAGAAACTCAGATTTACGAGTTGTTTGGGACCATTACACGATCGGTTCAATTGCGTCACGCTCAATTGCGCTTATGGTCGAAATGGTTGTTAGCAGTTAAGACAATTTACCTTGTCTTGAGTCTCTCCTCCGCATTCACCGCCGCATAATATATGTCGGAGCAATTATTTAATTCGTACGCACGCACACACGCTCGCTGACATACACGCACACGCGTGCAAAGCTGCGGCTGACAAAAGTGGCAAGTCAAGTTGCCGCTGCTGCGCCAATTGTATCGTTCATTTTTTTTACAGAGACTTATATTTCAATCGCAGATAATCAGCCTCGCACGAAATCCACCGTAGCTGAATCTCGCGCACGGTTCTTTAAAGGTAACAGCCGCGAGCCGCGGAAGTCTCGATGATGTCTGAATAATTCATACTCGATGCCTGGGAGGTGTCGCCGATGAGATTATTAATAGGCTTCGCTTCTTTTCGTATGCGGCTTTTCGCGACGCTCATTGTCGGATTAACAATTAATTCCAGATGGCGGCGATAAAGTCATTGAACTTGAAATCTCCTCACAGATATTCCCGGCGCGCATCGCTCAGACAGCACCAATTTCTAAAAGGAGACGTCTGAAAGACATCTTAAAAAGATTAAGATGTCTTTTAGACACTTTTGAGACGTCTTTCAGAAATGTGAGCCTCCTAGACAGTCGGTCGATTCAACCCGAGAAAATCGTTTCGCGCCATTAAAAATAGCAATATGTTTTATAGTTTTACGTTCAATCGATGCTGAATTTCCTCACGTCCCACTTCAATGTGACTGCAACTGACGATTTTGCTGACAAAAGGATAATTTTGTTGACGCAGTGAAGTCTTCACTTGTTTTGATTTCTTTTAAGTACGTACAGACGCAATTTTTGCGAATTACTCAACGATCACGTGTAAGCAAGTTATTAAGTTCAGTAAGCGTAAATATTTCAGAATAGAGCGTTTTAATAATAGAGGCTTTTCTCATCGGCGGTTCATCGCGTTAACAAAAATTCGAAGATCGTAGAAATACTTGAGCTAACTTAAATTTCTAATTCTTGTGAACCACAGTGTCCAAGGGAATCAGAAATCCAATTTCCCTTAACCAAGACACGTTTGCTTCGCTCATTGCGTCACGTTAGTACAACCAAATCTTCTTCTCCGTGTGTATGTGTGTGTGTCGGCTATTCACACTTTGGTCGTTCGAGGACCACTGATATATCGAGAAATGTTTTTATATTAGGAGAGAGCGAGTTAATCTTGATAAGGTATTCCGCCGCATCCGCGCGCGCGCGCGCGCGAAATCTTTCATTTTTCAGAAATGCTGTGAAAGTACGACATTGACCACGAGCGCGCGCGTCGAGCTTTCGCTTTCATTATCGCGTTCTGCAAATGTGGGCCATGTATACCATAGCGAATTATATTTTTGTTCCTGACAACAGCCGAAGAGGAATCGCTCCATTGCTTTTCTTTCTCTCTCTCTCTCTCTCTCTCTCTCTCTCTCTCTGTCCCTCTCTCTGCTAAATTATTGCTCAACGGTGCGTTCGTAAGCGACGAATGCAACGAGGCGCGTCGGGCCAAGCTTTGAGTATTGTTAGCAGAAAGATTAATTTGTCCGAATACACCGTCAACTGTTTTTCTCGCTTGTTTAATCGTTACGCTTAATCGATCGCGTCGAGCAAATGCAATTGATTTCTTCTTTCTCGATATTACTCCAGTAAAAGTTGTTGGTTGGATGCACGTTTTAAGTTTTCAATATAAAGCGTACGTAAACTCTGTCTTTCAAAAGTAAGAAAGAGAGGAAGGAAGAACGGTAAAGATAACGCGATCGAAGAGAGCGATCGCTCACGATAAAATATATGCAGATTGTATCGAGAGGCCTGCGTTAGTGTAGATCCAACATAGCTCGATACAGAAACAAGTTTCTCTCCGACCTGGGAACTAATTAAATTTCCACCGACTCTCTTTCACCTACTTTGCGAACTCGTTCAAGTCTCAAATTGTATCTCTGTGAATTCATGGGCATCCTTGCGCGCGTAGGCTTAGAAGTATCAACAAACCGAAACGCGAGAATGCCAAGTGATGTTTAATTCAAGACATGGTTGTGCATCGCGCTTCGCCGGCCACGTAATTCGTTCGATCGTTCCATCCTCTTTCTTTTTTCCTTCTTCTTCTTCTCTGATCGGGCGATCATTTTATTTTTTTCGATTTGTCTCCGGCGCGCGACAATGGTCCACGTGACCCACGACCGCGAAGAAGCAAGCTACCGAGTACGAGGCGAGGATACGCGTGCTGGCCCTCACGACCCACGCGCGCGATCGAGGGGAGCACCGTTGGGTCAAAGAGGCCAAGATAAATTGCGATCTAATCCGCGAGTTAGCCGGGAGCCAATTACGCGTCGTTGCGCGTCCGCAGGAAGAGAGGAGTGGCGCCGCGCCCGGAGCGCGAAGCGTCGTACACCTCCTACCTCTGAGGCCTTGCGGCAAATGCTGACCGACCGTAAATCCCTCGTCTCTTTAAAGCGCGCCGTCGGGAAAACGCGAAGATCTACGACGTCGACCGATCGGGATCGACGGCAAGGACGTGAGTCGTCATTGCGCGCCCGCCCCGCGGCCGTTCCGTCAGCGGAGAGAGGGGGTTTTGCGCGAATCCGGATGTTCTGAGAGGGACATCAGGCGCGCGAGACTTATACGCATTGCTTGTGGAAGGGATTAATAATAATTTATATACATATATAAACTATAGAAGAAAAAAGAATATCTTTCGAGAAAATACACACATATTGCGGGAAGACCTTTACATTTTTCCTCCTTACTTTTCTTCTATTTTTCTTTATATATGTATATATATTTTTTTTTTTAATCTTTACTAAAAGTATCAACGCAAAATACGTATGTAATCTGATTCAGTATTTTAATAAGGATTAGAGCAAATAAACTCACAAATCTTAAATTTCTGTCTTTGTCATCACGACAAAGAGCTCTTGAAAGCTGACAGACAAAGCTAATGAAGACAAACATGCGTATTTTTATCAAAGTTTCTATTTCGTGCAAAAATTAAATATGAACTAAAAAGGTTATAATTCTTCCTTGAAACATGTACTAAGAACAATACGCGGGCTACTTTTTGTTACAACGTTACAAACACAAATTCACACAGCAATCTAATTAGACCTCACACCACGATCCGTCCCTGACGGGGCATCGTGGCGCGGAAATGGTGGGGGATTCGAAGATTAGAGTCGTTCCTCCGCAAACCGAAACTTCAGTTTAGTTTACCAACGGCCCCCGAGTCGCATCCTCCGCCGCGGACGGCGCACGAAAACGCACGCGGCCGTCCAACGGAAAAGAGGATAGGACAGGAGGAAGAATAGGTGAGAAGAAACGACATTCGCGAAGCGATGACGTGAAGCGACGGCGGCGGCGGCGACAACAGACGCGACGAGAAATCACGGATCGAGAGGCGGAGAGAAAAAACGCGCACTTGCGTTCTGTCTCCTGTACTCATCACGTTCCGCGAGTCTATATTTGTTTTCGCGCGGGAAGATCTCGCGACACGGAGGGCAAGCAGTCGGAACAAGCGCGCGCTTTGGATATGCGCTCGTGAGAAATCCGTTGAGGGAAGCTGCGAACAGGTGAGTGCTGTTTGGTTGGCCTTTTGATACAGGTTTCTTGATATGTGACCAGAGTGCGAATCTAATATATTATTATTACTCTCATGTATTAGGTTTCATGCATTATGACGTAAAGAATTCTCGTGATTGTGAAAGAAAATAAAAATGCAGTAGAAGATAAAAATCGATAAAAATCAAACAAAAGTGAAATTTATAATAAAATAATAAAGTGATGAAATAGGAAATGAGATTATCCAGCTTCGAAGAACCAATAATTTTTACGAATGTAATGTACAACATCAATTTGATGTTTTTTTTTAAGTATCTAACGAGGATTTTTCCTTTTTTTAAATATTCGAGCTTTTTACGACGATTTAATAAAATGACAAATTTTGGCACCTAATTGCAAGTGCAAAATTTGGCACTTAATATTACGCTAAGAATAATCATTTTAGCAATTTTTGAAACTGAGAGGAAGAAAAATATTGTTCCCTGTGAGCAGAAAGGAAGTGTTGTTCATGTTTGCAAGTTCTCGTTTCTCGTTGTAAACTGATTTATAATTTCTAAGATGTCAAGTTATCAGGTTTCCGATAACGAGATGCACGATGTGATACGTTAAATATTCTCTCAAGTAAACATATTA